GATTTCATATAAAATAAAATATTAAGGATATTTTGAAATATGTTTTGTTCCGTTTGTTTCCTGGCTGAGACAAATGTTTGATGGTTGTTATAGAGTATTAAAAACAGATATAGAATTATAAATACAATAATTGAAATTGTTATTTTTTAATTTTGCGCTTTGCCAGCAAATCGTGATGTTAGTTTTGCCACTTAAAATGTGAAATGTGCACCACTGTGAGATGTGAATGTGAACGGAACGTGGGCAAGATCGAGTGTCCGTCCCAATGCCGGTCTTTGGCCAGAAAACGTGTGGCGTTAATATGCGTCGCTCTGGCTTAGCTCGTTCATGTTAGTGCTTCCTTTTGGCATCGCCAACATGTCAATTATATCGTATCAAATTAATAATTGAGCAAACAAAAAAAAACTGGAAAGAAATATATATTTATATATATACATCTATCTGTCTATCTGTCTGTCTGTCTGAACGTGGTTAATAAAACGTTGCACGTCTTCGGCCCATTTGCCAATGGAGTTGGCTTAAAGAGCTGCCAGTTGTTGGCACCAATTGTGGCAGACAACCATGAACTGGCCTCCATATCGTTGCAAGTCTGTACTGTGTTACACTGCCGGAATACCTGGACTCTTTCAATTTAAGCTACGCGGGTTAAGTATTGTAGTCGTCTTAGGTTGGCAGCACTGTCACCGACATCCATGTCGACTATTTGACCCATAAAAGTCATTCTTACATGACACAAAAACTAAATATTGCGATATTTACAGTTAGTTTCTTTTCTAAATGCAATAATCGAATGGAATGAAATTGCAGAAGTCTTCAGCTGCATCAAAAACAACGACAAGAATTGATAAAATAAGGTCATTCCAGCATATAAATATTTAAACCAATTTAAAATGGAATTACTTTGAAGACGACATAATCGACATAGAGGAATAAATAAATGTTCTATTTTATAACAGAATTCTTTCGAATGTATACACAACAATTTAGACCAGTGTCGCCTGAGGCATTTCCGAAAACAAAAAAAATAAATAAATATATACATATATATACATAGACATATACATATACATATACATATATATATATATAAATTAAGTATATATATATACTTTATACTTTATAGAGTGTGCTACGCCTCTTTCTGCTCATTATACACATATGAAAAACAGCAAGTAACAGTAATCTAGTCGAGAGTGCCCGACTAGAACATACCCTGAACATAACTAAACTTTCGCTCATTGTCGGCTTATTAAGATTAACAAACATTGAAGATAAAACTATTCTATCGTTCACTACTATTCCTTTGAAAAATATATTTCATTAGCTTTTGTTTTGATTAAGTTACTTAAATGGAAGCAGGCCAATAATCAGTTATGATTTCAACAAATAACACAAAATAAAATAAATTGAAATGTTTCACCTTTCAATTGTGCGATGAGTAGAGGAACCCATCAGAAATCCGAGACAATCGGAATTATCAAGCTTCTGTGGATTAAAGGCAACAAAAGTTATCAATTTTATTGGAAAACAATTATAAAATATATTTATAATATTCCCATTTCAATGGTAGAGCTACGTTGAAAGAGACCGCAATATATTAAACAATTCAATAATAACAGCGATGCCGTTGAACTTGAGGCAATTCTGAGATTAAGTCGTGCCTAATATTCAACACAATTCAGTTTAAAAAAACATTCAAAGCGTGCAGTTTCATTCTATATATTCGCAATGTATTTATTTCTAAAGATATTGCTTATTGCTTTAATATTCCAGGCACGGGCTATGGGCGAAAATACTGTAAGTTAACCTGCAGATTAAGTGCTCTGTGGGATCTATATTTGTGAGTATAATATATTTATTTATTTAATTAGCACTGCAGTGCCTTAAGGAAGAAGGATGAAGAATGTGGATCGTATTGTTACACAATGGTAAAACCCCTACTGAACTACGCTGCCTTAGTTCGATCGAAAGAGGAACAATTCAGCGAACTTACAACAAAGATCCAGAGCCTGGAAGCAACAATAAGATCTTTAGAGACTCAGCTTGAAACAACAAAATCAATTCAGGAGTTTAAAAACGAGTTGTTGTCATCCAACCAGGATATAGTGGACAAGTTACAAAATATAATTGATACTAAAAATAGCAATGAAAATGCGTTGAACAGAAAGATAAAGGAAAAAGATTCGGAAATAATTAAACTGAAACTTCAAAACTCTGCAAGCACAAACAAAATTAAAGAACTCACAGATAAAATATCTGAAATGGAAAGAGAAACCAAAGAAAGTTTACCCTCCAACTGCGTTGGTAAACTTACAGCTATATACGAAATAAAAGTTCCAGGCTCAAAACCCTTTTCCGTGCCCTGTGACTCGAGCCTGGCTGATTCCGGTTGGACAGTTATTCAGCGTCGTCAAGATGGCTCTGAGAACTTCAATCGCGCAATGAGCGACTATAGATCGGGATTCGGCAGACTCAACGGGGAGTTTTTTATTGGACTTGAGAAGCTTTATTTATTGACGAACTCCCAGAAACATGAGCTTTACATATATCTCAAGGATTTCGCCAACAATTATGCCTATGCCCGATACAGTCACTTTCTTATTGGCGGAGAGGAGGAACATTTTAAACTCAAATCATTAGGAGACTTTTCTGGAAATGCAGAAGATTCAATGTCTCCCCATCTCAATATGATGTTTTCAACCCCCGATGAAGATAATGATAAAACAAGCAGTAGACATTGTGGAGAAGAATTTAATTCTGGTTGGTGGTTTGAGTCTTGCTATTATAGGTAACTAAACAATTTATAATTGATTGATATATTGATAGATTACTAAGCCATTTAATACTTATTCGCAGCAATCTAAATGGAATATATAGAAATAAGCGGCTTTTAAGGGAAAAAGGAGTGGATTGGAATCTCTGGCAACATGATTCACTTCAATTTGTTCAGATGATGATCAGACCAAAAGATTAAGAATTAAGAGAATTAAATGTATATTTGAAAATTGTGAAATTGTTAAATTTAAAATAAAAGTGAAGTCCATTTAATAAACTTTATAATCTCCATTTCTAACAGGTGAAGGAACGAAACCTATATACCCTTGTGTGATGTGAGTTTGTCTGTCTGACAAACAGATACAAGATACAGGTGTTAATAGAGACATTCACCTTGAATAATGAAGTCCTTTTGAATATGAGGTGTGGCATGTCGGGAATTATTAAGGTGCTATTGACATGCTTGAAGTAAGTAGATTCATTCACAGTTCATTCATTGTAAATTCATTCACAGCTGAGCATTTGCTCCATGGGCTCCTTGGTGTGGCATAGCATATCGTAGTTGGATATTATGTCATATAACATTAGTTGTTCCATTCCGCGAAGATTTAATAACAGAATAACGTTCGAGAATGATTGGAGGACAACCAGATAAAAGAGAATTCAAAAACTTATCATTATTATTATAGGGTATCTCATAGTCCATATGCAGTATATTAAGTTGTTTATTCGAAATCAACGTCTGCAACAAAATCCTGCAAATTAATCAACATTTTTAGCGATTTTATTGAAATGTTCCATGCCTGATGACCAAACACAAAACTGGTTAACATGTTTCAGAGATGTTGTTGTTGCGTTGGCGTCATTTGAGCCTGTGTGTGTGTGTGTTTTATTTGTGTTCAAGAGCCGAAACGGTAATTATCTTTTGACAGCACTTTGCTTGAATTTGGTATTGACATCCAGCTAAAGATCGAAGGCGATGGCGATGGCGATGGCGACAAAAGCAACGCTTTAGTCAGGCCGACAACTGAGGCTAAAACGTGGCCGATTAAACTGACAGCCAGACAGATAGACAGACAAACAGCCAGCTAGTAAATTGCTATTCGGACGCACCCCAGACAGCGACTGTTGTCGCGACACGAAACTGAGCTCCGTCCGATATTGCATAAACTAACGTATATGAAGATTTATTGTGACGGTCGTGTTACTTTATAGATCATCTGCTAAAAAGATATTTACAGCACCGATCCCACTAGAGAGTCAAACACATCCCAAGCCTCAATTCTCTAGCGACTCTCACACAATTCTCAAAAGACATTCTCTGAGGTCTCTAACTTAAGCGCCTTCCAAGCACCAATATACTGATATAATTTCTTTCTTTAACAACTCGGAAGTAATCTTAAAGAAAAAACCATTATACCCTGATTTACCATTTTCAATGGAATCAGGGTTTATACCCAGGTACAATCTTATCAAATATCATTCTGTGCATTCTGTTCTTGACCTTTTTTATGATGGCAAACCATTTCAATATATTATACGAACTGGAAATAGTTGTTGTACAGAAACTTAAGCTTGATGCCATGCTTATGTCTTAAGCTTCGTCGGGTCTACGAAACTACCAATTTCCTAGGACTCACATGCTTTTTTTAATACTTGAGAGGCTTTCGCACATAATTAGTTAATATAAACAATAGCACATTTTGTTCAAACTTCAAGCTTAAATTTAGAATCAATTCAAATCGTGGTGAATTTCAAAAAAAAAATATTTATATATATACAACGACAAACAACAAAAGAAAAAACCAGCTGACACTGAAACAATGAAAGTTCAAGATCAAACTATCGCCCATCTCTAACGCGCTCTGTTTACCATTCAAATAGTGCGCGCGTGTATGCGTGTGCCTGTGCCTGTGCGTGTGTATGTGCGTATGTGTGTGCGTGTGGGATGAGCTAGGAGAGAAAGATGAAAACGGCGCCAACGATAAGTGAAATTCATGCAAAGAGAGCGCGAAAATCGAAGACAAAACGCAAAGCCAAACAAACGCCGCCAATTGAGACCATCAAAAATAGAGCCGCATGCAAAATACCTAAGACAATTGTAAGCCGATTGTGGAAAGATCATCACAAAGAGGTAACGATCGCGATCGGAATCGGGATTGGGATAGGGATTGGGATTGGGACTGGGTCTGTTGCTAAAAATCAAAAAATTAAGTAAAGGAAAAAGTGAAGAAAAGCGCGCGAGAGAAACAGAGACAGATAACAAGAGAGCGAGAGAGAGAGAGAGAGGCATGGCGAGCAAGCGGCTTAGTCTGATGCTGGAGGAACAACTGCACTCCAATGATGTCGATGCTAATCTGGAACAACGCTCGGCCAAGCGACACAAGGCGAACAGCAGAATCAGCGACGAATCGCCATTGCAGCGCATGCTGCAGCGTCAAATCTCTAGCGGCAACTGCGCCGTTCACCTCTCGCCGATCACCGAGCTGGCGCACAATATGCGCGACACCCAGTTGGATGGCGGCGGCTGCGGGACGCCCAAGTCGAGCACGTTTCGCAGCTACAATAGCATATCGTCCAGCTACGACTCTAGCAACTCTCTGGACGATGAATATATGGCCATGTTTGAGCTGGAGGGATTGGAGCAGCTGCCACTGGACAAGCTGCCGGGTGATCTGGATGCGCTGATAAGCGGACAGCTTAAAAGCAACGAGAATCACGTCGCCTGCACGGAGCGCCATCGTGCCGTACGCCGTTGCCTCAGCATGTCTGAGCAGCAACTGGAGGAGCAGCAGGAGCAGGAGCAGGAGCAGCAGCAGGAGCAGGAACTGAAATCATCTCTGGCTATCACACCCGTTAAGCAAAGCACCGATAGCAAGCACGTGAGCATGCGCAAAGTTGTCTCCATGAACGATGCGGACATATTGAATGCCCTGGGCGATGAGCCCGAGCTGATCGGGGATCTGAGCAAGCCCTGTGCTCTGCCCGTGCTGTTGCACGGCGTGCGGCACCGAGATCTGAAGACCATCTCGTGCGAGACGCTGGCGCGTCTCATGCGCGGCGAATTTGCCCAGCTGCTGAATCACTACCAAATCATCGACTGTCGCTATCCCTACGAATACGATGGCGGACATATACGTGGCGCACTGAACCTCTACACGCGCGCTCAAATCAAGGATGCGTTTCCCACGGGCGACCAGATCGCGGGTCAGCATCGCATTTATGTCTTCCACTGCGAGTTCTCCTCGGAGCGTGGCCCGAAGCTGTTGCGCTACTTGCGCAGCAACGATCGCAACGAGCACACGCACAACTATCCCTCGCTCGACTACCCGGAACTGTATCTGCTGCACAACGGCTACAAGGAGTTCTATGCCAGCTATACGGATCTCTGCGAGCCGTGCAACTATGTGCCCATGCTGGCGCCAGCTCACAATGAGGAGTATCGTCTGTTTCGTGCCAAGACCAAGTCGTGGCAGTGCGCCGATAGCGATGGCGGCGACAGTGGCATTGGCGGCACAGATGGCCACTCCTCGAGACGTGGACGCAGCCTGCACAAGTCACGATCCCGCCTGCTCTACGCCGAATGAGGATGAGGCCAGACTGTTATGCCAGAACTATATGACCCCAAGATAGAGTAACTAGATAGTATAGATGTAAATAGGCGTAGAGCTTAACCAAAAGATGTAAACTGAAAGTTTCGTTCCGTTGCAGTGTTTCCTGCATGAAGATGGTGCGCAGCGTTGCCAGACTGTTTCACAGAATGATAATCCCCCAAGACCTAGCTAGACAAGAAGTTTAACCCAAAGGACGCAAATTTGAAGTTTCGTTTAGTTGCGTTTTCCCAATGTTAAGTGGAATTTATGTAATTGTTTAACTTGATTTTACGCTTTACAGTTAGCAGTTAGCAGTTAACAGTTAACGATTTACGGTTCTGGTTCATTGTTAACAGTTCTCAAATGTTTTCCCAAAATGTCTTCTAGTCAGTGCAACAAAATTCATATTTTAAGCTATTTCGATATCCATCTTTATATATGTGTTTTTTTTCATTTCTTCCTTTCTTTTCCTTTGGCGTTTCATTTAGTTTAGTTTTTCAAATTTTCTTCATATTTAATTATATTGATATAATAAAATTATTCGAAGCAAACAGTTTCCAAATCGGATACAAATCGCTTTTTAAGCTATATTTAGTGTAGTATATATGTATGATGCTATATATAGTGTGATGCTGGAAGTATTATCAATCTATGGAGATTCTCTGAACTTTGAACCACAAAATTTTAGATTTAGAAAATCGTTTGAAACTACAAATATTTTTAATGTGATCTGTAAAAATATAAATATATTTAACATGAATGAAACCTTATATATCTACAGAATGTTTTAATTTGGATCAAGCATTGTTAAGCCCGATCAAATTTGAGAAAAATAAATGTGATAAATATTCTAGACTTACATATGCTATAAGAAAACCAACGTTAAGATAGCCCCCATAAAAATCATGTTTGACATATTAAAAAATATTTGCTTTCTGGCCTAATTTACTTTGAAGATCATAGCGAAGATTTTATGGACTTTCCAATATATATGTTGTGTTTCAAAACTGTTCAAATTCATGATTCTATAACAATATAATAACAATATATAATTATACATTTTATTATATATATTTTGTGTCGTGATTTTTTGAATTGAAAATGTCGAGCTTTGGTCGATCGACTTTGGACTTTTTTTAAGAAAAGACTAAGACTTGATTATTCATATATCCATATAGAAAATTGGAAATAAAATCATATATAAAATAGTACGAATTTGGGCTTTGGTAGAGCTACACAATTAGTAGGCAGAAAGCTAAAGTGAGCAGAGAAAGGATTCATGTAGGTTGCCTAACGTGAATATTTAGGGTATCTTCTAGTCTAGCACTCCCGACCTTAAGCACCTATGACTTTTTGCTAAATAAATTTCATTCAATTTTATTATTTATTTATAATCAAATATTGAATACAGACAATATTTTGACCAAGCAACTACTCTAAGCTCAAATCTTATCTGATCAGCAATAGATAACTATACATGGCTTACAGAAAGATAAAGTGAGTTTCCATATATATATATATATATATATATATATATATATATATATATATATGTTTGTATGTATGTTTGTATGTATATAAGGAGGCAAACACTTTGAAATTTCACAATACTTTCGCTTGCCACGCCTTTTACTGCTGCTGCTGGTGCTGCTGCAGATGCCTCTGCAGAGAGATAATAAAAATGAAATATTGCTCGAGTGTGTTCGGTGCAACAGCTTCAGTTCGGCTTCGCTCCTCATCGTTCCCAACTTGGCTCCTATGTGCTGCCACTGCCATTGCCATTGCCATGAAAATCCGATAGCAGACATATTTTATGTTGGCTAACTGGCAAAAGAAAAATAAAACTGCAAAAAAAATTACATTTTATTTATTGCCAACAGCGGAATATTACGAATATTACACAAGAGACCGCAACGGGCGCCAACTTTCACCCACCAGCGAGGAGAGAAAGAAACGCATACACATATATCTTTATACAGGATAAATCAGTTGGACGACAACAAGCTGCATACATGACAATTAATTATTCTTCACCTGTTGTAAAAGGCAGCAAATAACTGAGCTACTTTATCATACCCTTACTTCTCTTCATATATATAAATATGTGTGCATATGTGTGCATATGTGTGAAGCGTAATTAGTACTCAAGTTGAGTACATTGTGCATGTTAGAGCGAGATGACACAATTCAAATACAGTGAGGTGAATATAACAAATCCACCATGGCCTGCGTGTGAGAACTCGCGCTCTCTACAATTCCTCTTCCTCTTCGTCTTTCGTTCGATCAATTCAAATGTAGCAAAATAAATTGATTTTCTATATATACAATTGGGCTTTAATATAGTTTAGACTTCAATTTTCAAAAAGATTATTACCTTTATTATTAAACTTTAACAATTTGTACAATTTTCGAAAAAATTTTTTTTTTTAATTTTGTAAAATAATATCTAAAATAAGTTAATAATCAAATAAAGCTGCACAATATTCGAGTAGTGCTTTAGGCCTTAGGGTGAATTGAAGGGAGCCTTGAAGCCGGCCTTGTTGTAGAACTCCGATGGAACTGCATCGTCGGCATCGAAGAAATCGGAATCCCTCGAACAGCATGGACCCAACTCCAGCTTAACAATCATGTCGCCCCAGAAGGTGAGCATCTGTCGTTGCAGCAGTTCATCACGCAGCTTTACAATCCACTCGTTGTACTCCCAGGGGCCATAGAAGCCAGCATCGCTCTTGTATTCCTGCAACAGCTCGGCGGCCTTTTCGAACTCCAACGACGTAGGTGTGCCCTCGAACAGCAACTGCCAGATGGCCGTGCGAGCCGCCTGGCCAATCTTCTCGACATTTTTCCTGTGTATCTCGTCAGGCACAATGACGGTGGTTAGCACGAAGCGTTTCATCAAGTTACGATAGTCGCTCAACGGCTCCTCAGCACTAATTCGCGCCTCAAAGTCGCCCGTTAAGGCTGCCGCATTATTCGAATCCCGCTCGGCCTCATTGCCAGCATCCTCGTCGCCGCTGGCCGCCTTTTCAGCGGCACGCACCTTCAAACTGGCCGCAAAGGGCGCCACACAGCCAGCATGGGCATAGAACTCCAACGGCGGCTCGTCGTCGCAGTCAAACAGATCCGAGTCGCGAGACCAGCAGGGACCCAATTGCTTGGCGACAATTGTGTCCCGCCAAAAGTCGACGAGCTGTCGTTTCAACAGCTCATCGCGCACCTTTACTATCCACTCGTTGTATGGCCAAGGTGCATAGAAGCTTGCGTCACTTTTGTGCTCTTCGAGCAGTTCGCTCGCTTTTCTCTGTGACTCAGCATCGCCGCATTCGTCGCTGAATATTAGCTTCCAAATAATTTCACGGGCTGCACTTGCGATTCTTTTAAAGTTCTCTTTCGTTACCTCATCGTCGACTATCTGATCAACCGTTACACGCGTCTCGATGAGTTTAATGTAGTCCTTAAGTGGCTCTGCTGTGCCAATAACGAAAAGGTTGCTTGCCTGAGTGGAACATTCTTTTACAATATCATTTTTCGCAGTGAATCTGTTCGACTTACCTCCTGCTCGTTAGCTGTGGCATTTGTTTTTGCTGCTGTGGATGCCATTTCGTTATCTGGCTGTGAACCGTCAGCTTTACGTTTTGACATTCCTGTTGAATGTTGTCACTTTTCCTGTCAGTTCAATTAAGCTTGTTTCTAATTTCACACTTATTCGCAACAATCGATAAGTCGCTAAAAATGTATTAAAAAAGCCGAAAGTTACTCCTCAATTTCATTGAAATGCTCCACAGTTAGCAGAATTCAGTACTTTTGGTATTGTCTCTGTTAAATTTGTGGTATTTTAATAGTACACACTCGCAGTCACACTAATTGATTTTAACAAAAAAATATTCGTGCTTAAGGGTTTTACGCTTGTGCCCAATTCTTAAACAACTAATTTGAATTACAATTAGTTGCGTAACGATTATATTGAGAGCATACATAGAGCTACAAATAATTGTGGGTGCATTTCTCGTTACTTCAACTGTTGTTCTACGGCTGTGTATCGTCTGTTTCCCTTTCACACTTGGTGAAAAAGTTTGAGGTTACAATATTTGACCACGGCAGCAAAAAGCCAAACGACGTGTTAATGCCTCCTGCAAGCAATAAATTGCCTCTTCAAATAAATATAAAACATTTCTAATAAGAGTGTAGTAGACAACAACGCCTGCAGCAAAACAAAAATCCAAAAATCAATTGCATTTGTGTCTGCGTTTGCGTGCGCGTAAGTGTGTGAGTGCTAGTACAAGTGTGTGCGTGAAATTCAATTTCTCGTACTCGAAAGACAACGAAAAAGTCTCAAAGTTATACTCAAATGTGTATGGCAATTGTGGTAAGTGCATAAATAGACGTTTAATAATAGCAAATAGAACAAAGTTAATGTATTTTGGCCGAAAAAAACCATAGCATATGCAGACACTCCATGTAAATGTGTTCGTACATATATTTATTTGTGTGGGAGTGTGACCAAAGTCAATAATTAAATTAAGAGGGCTCATTTTCTTAATGCGATTGCTCTTTTGCATTTGCTGCACTTCATCTTAAAGTAAACGCTTCGCTGGGCGTGACATTTTATGATTACTGCACTGTGATCGAACTATCATCCTGGCGCCTTTCGATTGTACACGTACTATAATCCTCTTTGTGTGGCGTATAGTCACGCCATGGCTGCTGAGAGGAGAGAAGTTTTCCAAGTTCATGCAAGTAATCCAAATTAAAAAAAAGGATAGCAGGCTCGATGTCTGATGAAATATAAACAGGATTCGTTTCTCTGTTTAATATTACATTATTTATAATTCTATAAACCACACATTTATACACATTTATTTTGACGACGGCCTAGGTAGCTAATTAGTTTCGCATGCTTATTGAGCTAGTTCAATCTACAAATGCAATCTTTCTGTTTCTGACCCTCTCTCACTCGTTCTACTTACATGCATAATGCGTACTGTGCATGTGTACAATTTTCATGAGTCAAAGATTTCGCCAACATGTGAAATGATTCATAATTTTGATTAATTCATATTAAATTTTAGGCACTGCCTGTGAAGAATTGACCCACATGCACCTGAATATACAGTATTGAGAATTTATGTGTGTGTATGTACTTTATGACGTCGCTAGATGAAAGTAAATGTCTGCACTGGATTGACCCGGTTACAGTTATAGCTAAAAGTAGTGCAACTGTAAAACTGGGACATGACCAACAGACTAAAGAGAGAAGAGAAAAGCTTTGAGCTACATACATACATGAATGTATATACATATGCAAATGCTCTAAATTGCTGTTTACTTTCATTCGCAAATACGTACACATGTATATGTATGTGTATGTGTTGTGTGTGTGTGTATGTATGTACGCAGAGGGCTCACTAATATCTAATCTATTAAATGCTCAAACAGATTTATCATATCAACGTCAACTGCAACAAAATAAAATTTAACAAACAAAAAGACGACGCAAAAAGATTCACTTAAGCAAAAGGCAAAAAAGATTCATTTTCGAAACAGTTTAATTTCTTTCCGCGCAATTGAGGACGCGGGACACATCTCTGTGCGCACAGTTATCGTATTTATTTTTAAACACCCATAGAGACACAGAAATGCACATAAATTTATTATCAGTTTGAATTACTCAAGAATTGCCTGCTGGTATGTGCACTTCACTAAATCTACAGTTATTGTGCAGCTTATTCATAAGTATGTATATTTACGTATGTATATACAGACAGACAGATAGATAATATTTTTGCGTTTGTTTTTGTCTCGTCTGCAATACATACTTATACAAACATTCATACAATTCTTGTCATTTGCGTCAATGGGAACAAACAAATAATCTAGATGATCGGACGAGTATAACTGTAAAACAAACGCCAGTCAGTATTCGTTTACATACATGCATATGTACATGTTTTCACACGTAGTTGAAATTGTAAGTAACGAAATAGCTCATTGTAACTTCAAATAACCGTTAATCCAAATGAATACCACGCTCTTCTCGCTCTTTTGTTTTCAGTTTCCGCTCGCATCGTTCTGACCATTCTCTGCATCATTTGCCCTGTCCTTGAACAAGTTCAATGATATTGCTCAGCGTATTGTTGCTGTATTGTTTATTCTTGATATGAAAATAAATGAGACAGGGGATATATGAAATGCAGGGGATCTGACGAGCTCCGACGGTCCCAATCAACCGTCTATTTAATATTATTTGATTTTATTGCTTTTGTCTTTATTCTATGTACGCCTTGTGCCACTTCGAAATTAGACAACTGCACGTATATACATATGTATTTATGTAAATATGTGCACTGTTGTTTTATATATGTACAAACATGTGATTGCTTTTGTATATACACAGCACAAGCATCCTTCAAATTTAAATAAAATATTTAATTTAGCTTTTATAGCAAACAATTCACTTGAGACACGTGTGTGTGTGTGTGTGTGTACATACAGATGTACACAGATCTTACTGTGATTAGATTGTGAAAATGAAATATTATTTAAATTTGTTTGCCTTAAGCAAGCGAGTAATTTATTTTAATGGACGATTTTCGTTCAAAGTTTTACTTGCAAAAACTATTTGTCAACAGCAAGTCGTATGCAATATATGTATATCCAACTATACATATGCATATGTTTCTTTTTCTCTATTGTCACGTTTCCGGAAGGCGTGCGATTTGCGTTAGTGTGTACATGTCATATCTAAATATAGAAAAGGAAGAAAGCGACCAAAACATGCAATACTAACAACGTCAGTTGCCACTATTCGCTTGCCAAAGGGAGGTACGAGGAATTGGGAACTGGGAGTGGGAGTAGTAGAACGTAGCACAGAGAGAAAGGGAGAGAGATAGAGACGACACTAAAACCACGGACCAAGTCTAAATATAGTTAAGCAAATATTGTTGTTTTTGTTGGCTGCCATCTAAAAGGAAAACTGCATAAAGCGACGACAATTTTTGACTGGATAACCTTGCAATGGGTTCTGGCATGTACAAGCCACATTCACAGCGCGAACCGTTCGTTCGTTGCCTGATGGATAACAAAAAATAATCGCAACTTGCTCTTTAAGTATTGTATCTGCGGCACAAACAACGATTGTATCAACACCGATTGCAACCTTCAAACTGTAATCACGCTTTATGTATATATGTATATATATATATATATATATATATATATATATATGTATGCATCGAATCAACTGCGATAAAAAGGCTGACGCATTTTCCGGCTCAAGACGTCATCAAAGTTGTTGCTGCTTCGTGGCTTGGCACCAAAAATAATCAGGCAATAATACAAGTGTCCCCAGGCACTTCACATATACAAATATAATATATACTTATAGCTAAATAATAGTTTGAAGAGTACTTACTGTTGAGAAATGTGCGTAAATATTAAGTGCTACGAATTGTAAAAAGTTTTGATTAAAGTAGAACAGTTTTAACGTTGAAATAGCCCAAGTATAAACTATATAAAAAGAAGATACAATTAGGGCTAGGTAAGTTGTTCAGACGACGAAACATTGAATACGATATGAGAATTGATATAATACTTTCATAAAGTATTACAACATGAATATTTGAACTTAATTAAATTTGTAAACGGACACAAATATTTAAGTAACCCCTTTTTTTAAACATTCTTATAAAAGACATTACGTCGTTAAATTGGCGTGTATATATATATATATATATATATATATATATATATATATATATAAATATATATATATATTCTTTATCTATTTAAAATCACTTATGCTAAGAGAAAAAGATGTAATGCAGCATATAATATATAAAAGTTCTTGTGTGAATATAGTATATATGTGTGTCGATTGACGCAAATGTATGAGAATAAATCAGAAAATAATTAAATTCATGTTGAAACTAAAAATTGTTTATCTCGTTATTATCATATCAAAATTATCCTAACTGATTGTAGATAAAGTAAATATAGAACTATGAATTTTATTTTATTTATTTAGTTTTCGTGCATAGAAAATTATTCAATGATAGTTAGTTTAGCGTATGAAACAGATAATGCTATGTTTATTTATTAATTAACAATTAAGAGAATGATAGGTCTAAATAAGTAGTTATATAACTCCTCCAGCTTAAGCACAAAAATGCCAAATAATCCAAAAAATGTCAACGTTTCTTACAATGTTTATAAGAATGTATTAATAAGAGCTTAATCAACTCTGCCAACTTTTTTAGCTACCCTCGATTAATAGTTATAACACGAACACAGGCAACGGCCCCATTTTGCTACGTACCCCAACCCTGCAGTGCCGATAATTTCCATTATGAAAGTGAAAGGGCAGACTAGCATTTTGTTTTGTGTTTACACTGGGATTAGTCACGCCCACTTTTCTGACAATACATCCAGCAGTCGTAAAATCAATATATCGGAGCAAAGTCGCTAGTTTTTAGCACAATAGTGTCCTAGTTCTTCAGCTCTACGTGTGTTCTATTTACTTAGCGTTCCAAATGTGTCAACTGATGAATTGTTAATGTTGTTAGCTAATCAACTCTATTTGCTTTAACCACACAAACTCGTTTTAATAGCTGATGTATAACCTATTTAGTACTGTTCTTAGGGAAAGCAGCTTTAGATAAGTACAGAAATATCTTAAGAACGGATTCTGTTTTAAAAAATACGCCTGATAAACAAATAGATAATCAGTATATTTTCTAAGCCGTTAGAAGTTGAAAGGTAAACCGAATCGGTAATGAATATAGTTTTATAATCTATGTAAATGGAATCTTAATTAATTTTTTCTAATTTTATTATATTATTTTATGTGGATATCAAAATTTAAATTACTCGATTCATAGACTTAGTGAAAATCGAATATATATATAAATGCTATATAAATTATATAAAATACTTCCCCTTCAAAAAACAGTAATATTAGGAAGTGTATTAGAGTTAATAAATCTACTTCAATAAGGTCAAACCTTAAATTTGTTGTCGAGAATCGTAAATCGTAAATCGTGACCAATTAATGAGCCAGTATGGATACTGTATATTCGATTATATACGATTCTTTAGGTCTGTCTTCAAATGTTAACAGAAGTATAAATGACAGCTCAATAGAACTCATCGGTCGATTGAATAACTGATCAAAGAGTGAGCTTTACCTTTCATTAATCGCTGAATTCAGTTTAATGATCATTGTAATGATAGATATCGTTTTGTGTTTCACTTTTATCCTACTATTTTATTATGAACTGAAAACTTCAATGCACGCTAGTTTACATTTTCGGCACACAGATGATAATATTTTAACATATAGTGGCCTTTGTATGGAGGCCCTACTGTATACGCCGCAATTCGATGAATTAGCAGACCAACTTTGTGTCTCACTTTCGACCCGACTACAAGTTTCAGTAGAGTTCCCAGCCTTCGGCTGGATCAGTTAATCTATGTATAAATATTTATGTATTTATTATTTTCTCGCACTGTTCTACATTGGCTTCTATATTTCGTCCAATTAGCGATACCGATGATTCATCACAATTGGCCACATGTCGGGCAATGTCTGGCCAGTGTCTGGGTATTACTTGAAAGTGATCGCACTTAATTTTAACGGCACGTTTTGACATATTGAATGACAGACGACTCAGATTTCTTCCCGTCGTTGTTTAATTTATTAAAAATTCTCTTCAGTTTGTAATATAATAAAGAAGTAGTTGGGCATTTTTTTACGGCTGCGAATTTCAAAGTTTCGTACCAGGATTTCTTGTTTTTTCAGCTTGTGTGCCCTTGTTGTCTAGAGAATACCCAAATTCGCACACCAAACTGGATTCATATCTTTTTTTTCGTCCTTTTTATGTGTCGACGTACCTTGGGCACTTAATGTTGTGTTTGTGTCTTTTGTTGTTGTTGTTATGTATTTGTTTGTTTGTTTGTCTATCAGCGACATGTTTCACAATGGCATTGACTTGTCTGGTTGGAGTGCAATCAACTCTTGGCTCTCAGCTCTGCTCACGTTATCCTCAATTTCTTTGGCCAGCAAAGTTTCGAGCTAACCTTCCACTCTACCTCTGTCTACCTCTCTTTCTCTCTCTGTCTGTCTGTCTGGTGGTCTGTGAATACTTAATTCGCTTAATCTTTTTCCCTCTCACTACATATCACTTCTTCCCCTTTTTCTGTTTCCAACTCTATATACTTTCGCCTCTCCAACTTTGTTCGCACTCTTTCTCTTCCTTCTCACTTTCCCTCTTTCTTTCTCTCCTTATATCTTCATCTTGAGATATGAGTTTAATGCAGTGTTCCTTGTTATTCGCGTAAATATAATTCTCTTTTGGTTCATCGATTTTTGACTTAAATTTAATGCTTTAAAATCGTGAGCTTCCTTGTATAGTCACATCATTGAGCAATATTTGTATGTATTTATATATGTCATACAGATAAGATTAGTTAACGCAAAGTATATCGTGTCTACAAAAAAGTGTCAACTCTGGCAAACACAATTTTCGTCATGTTGTCAAGCAGATTGAGCTGGCAGTTTCAAGTGCTTTAAAATTATTATTTCTTATGAATGTCGAATACCCATTAGGCTTATGATGAATAAAATGTATATAACACGCATTTCAAAATTTTCCTTATGATCGTGCAATTTTTTATTATTAGATAAGAATAATAATTTAATTAAAAAAGCATTATATCAACCTTGAACCAATAGACAGGCAAGATCTAGTTTAGATGTAAATACCTTGTACTAAAGTATTTCAGATCTGCTTTAGATGTAAAACAAAGTTTAGTTAGGAGATGACATAAATCAAATGTAAGTAAGATGAATATCCATAAATAAATATTTACAATTTACTTTATTTTACCTATTCTACATAATAAATAAACAGAATTACATCTTCGCACTGCTGGGCTACGAAATACTCTGTAAAAATAGGGAGAGAGAGAGCAGTAAATTGGTATTTCCACTTCCCGAGCATATTAAACTCATTGAAAGCAAAGCGTAGGTTGTGGAAGTAGTCATGAACTTGAACATTTCATAATAGAAAATTGTCTGTAGTGTACACATTATAAAATGTGGATATATGAGGCCTTCCCTGACATATCAAGCAAATTACAATAGATGTGGGCACTGAAGCGTGGCATGGGGCCTTGTTGTATGGGGAAAACTGCTGGAAAAGCCATCCGCCCGCTTGGCCGGCCGTGTGGGTAGCTGAAAAAAAAAAAAAAAAAACAATTACAATAAATTACAATTTGCACCACAAATGGGCATACAGTACCTGCCCAGCCATAGCAACTAGCCGGAGCCTCATTTTATTGCCGCAATATTAGTTTAAACTGGTTTCAATTTGAACTGCAATTGTTTTGCGGTCTGACCTTGAATGGGGTTTTTTTTGTCGTGCGATATATAATCAGATAATTCTTTATAATTTAACTGTCGCAAGTTTGCTTGTTATTTTACTTAAATAACATTGACCTTGGCTCGAAAGTTGTTTGGAGATGTTTGCATTCCGATTGAAAAAAGAAAAACAAAACTTTTTAATAACTTATCGTTAATGGAGAAAACTTACGTAATAAGTAAACGTATTAACATATATATATTTATTTTGTGCTTCGCAAGTACATAGAAATGCATATGTTTTTTATACTTAAATAAAGCAATGAAAAAATTCCAAAAATAAAAACATTTTAATAGGCCGGTCTCTTCAAAACACATCTCTCACTCTCTCTCTCTCTCTGTCTCATTTGCTGTTGTCTATTTTCCTAAGCAGTCACATCTTTCGCCTCATAGAGCACATATGTATAAATGTATGTGTACACTAAAGAGAGACGCGTATCTGACTTTAGATTTCGAAAATAAGAAATATGTTAAATATAACGTAATATGTATGTTATGATATGTAAATATGTTTAAGTTCTATTTTCGGCTTAAAAATGTCGTAATTTATTTATACTCTTTGTATTTTGCACTTTAATTTCATTTGTTGACTTTTGTCGTATTAATTTATTATTTTCGTGTCGCAAAGACAAGCACTCATTTCCATCTCTAAAGTTTGATCATCACTAAAATTATTGATATTTCGATTCGGTCGCTCTTATATTTGAAGTTGAGGTAACAACACACGAAATAGGCTTTGTTGTCTTTTAAGCAATTGAAAACAATTTAAGACGACAGCAATTCATATGACTTGTTTAAAGCCTTAAAATTGCGCCAGAATAACCAAATTTTGCTTTGTGACGGGAGCATTGTACGTTCATATGTGAATATACATACATATACACGTATATCAATACATCCGTTACATATATATATATATATATATGTTCGTCTGTAGATATGATTGTGCATATTCCATAGTGAAGCGAGTGTACTAATGTGCGTCACAGCGAGAGGGCCAAACACTTACTCGCAGCTGAAAGAGAGAAAGCAAACAAAACAAATGAACCGCAAGTACTCGTAACCGTACTCGAATTCGTCTCGCACTCTCGTTCGTTGTTCATTCGTTTTATGCGTCACATCAGCTCTCTGTGTTTTGCTCTCTCTCGCTCTGTCGTTCTCTCTCTCTCTCTCTCTGTTTCGCTGTCTGCTCTCACAGTAATTGTCGTTTGGCTGGCTGGCCTGCTCCGACAGTGAGTTGGCAACGTTCAGTCGATAGCAAAAGATGAAACAGTGCTCATCGCGCAGCAATTGGTGTCTGCTCAGTGTAATCGATCAGCGTCTTAGAATTGACACCTGTCGATATCTAATCGAGATTTTATCGCGCCGCATTACAGGCGACTAAGATTAGAGTCGGTATAAATCACTTAACACAGTGTACTAAATCTAACTAATTAACCAATAACCAGTGTCGCCATATATTTTTATATAGTATATAGTTTTTCATTTATATATACCTCTCTGTGAGTGTGTGAATGTGTGTGTTTGTGTTTGTGTTTGTCATTTCGCAAAGACGCAAAACTAAATACATTGCATAAGTCAAGTAAAAACCAGAAGAAAACGTCAAGTAACCAGCTGATATATAAGTGCATACATATGCACATACACACACATATATATATGTATATATATATATATATATATATATATTTGAGATATTTCCCTTCTATAAGTATATTTGTTTCGCGTGATTCTGAGCTCCTAATGCCTCAGAGGTACAATCAAGTGAAAGTTGTTCCCTACGTGCACGAATATAAATCATGTGTCCAAAATGACGAAACAATTCACATCTAAATACATATATTTGTAGTCGACTACCAGGCTATATAATTTCCAAGAGTTTGTTAATTAGTTCCACGTTTCTCTCTCTATATATGTATATACATACATATTGTATACAGTTTGTTCCCATGCTCTTTCCATTTTTATCAACAATGTTATGCCAAATTTCAACAGAATTGGATTGTTTGTATAGTTATATTTAAGAGCTGCATATACCGACACACCTTCAAACAGAGCTAAATATTTGCTAGAGATATTATCTATATACCGATACCAAAGTCTTCTGAAGATATGCCAAATATGTATATAGCTGAAATATATGTGTGCGCAAGTGTCTATATATTATACAATAATATTCTGTTGTATCTATATTTGACGGGCTTATATATATATATATATAAATACATAATGTATGTGTGAGTTTCTTAAAAAGAAAAACAATCGGACAAAGAGAAGCATTATGAAAATCTGTATATATTTGGAATTTTTCATAATGATGTTAATTAAAATAAATTTTGTTTTTGCTTCATCATCCATTAATTTACAATCTCATATATATTGCCTAATGATCTAACTTTATACTAACTATTCCATTAATCTCGCATTCTGCTTACAGTTGGTTAGACCTGTTCCCACATCTATGGAGTTTCATCTAGACAGTGCAGAATACTGCCAGGCACAGCACAAATAAAAAGTAAGTCTAGGGCAGACATATATATATATATATATATATATATATATATATATATATATATATATATATATATATATATATATATTCAAGGGTCATGAATGTTGATGAACTTTTAAATGTCGAAATGGTGAAATTCTCGAATTGCGTGTAATTTGCTTAACTGCGCTTCTCTTGTATTTGTCCAAACAATTAAAACGAAATGAATGAAATTCATTAAGGCCAACTATAAATTTAGGAATTAATCAAGCTAATTGACCAGTCAATTTCCAATTGCCGCATCAATTGCTTTCAATTTAAGAATTAACCGAAGTAATTTAGCTAAGGCGTCCAACTTCTACTCTACTCGGACTCTGAGTTGAAACTTAAAACGATAAAACGATAAAAGATTTCATCGAGCTTTACAGTATATTTATATATACTCTATATATACTATTTACTATTTATAATACACAGTTGACATATCGAAATTAGTGAAATTGTTCATTTTTGGTACGTAAACGTGAATATAAATTATTTTATTCACTAGTTCAATTAGTTCAATAGTTTAATAGTTCATGAACGGTACCATGAATAATTACAAATTTATGAGCTGTATAGCTGAATAGAACGAGTGGTTCATGGACAGCTTTTAACAGCTCAAAAGGACATATTTAATCTAAATTGTAGGTAAATACAGAAGGAAAACCATTTATAAACACTCGATTAGCCGGCGAGGCTGTGAAACTAATTATAGGACATCTTCAAGTCGAGCACTCTAGACTATGCTATTATTATTGATTATTGACCAATGTATTGTTTGCTTTGAACTTCAGGTAATCAAAACGCAAAGAAGGCCGAGATAGCCTGAGACAACGCTGTCATCCTCTGCCCGGAAGTCAACGGACGCTAAAACAGATTCGAAACGTAGCGGGAGAGTTCAAGACAGAAAGACAGTGTTAAACAGAGAGAAAGAGAGAGGGAGATTAGGATTTGGAGTTGGATTAAGAACAGTTTCGAGCTAAAGTTTTTACGTCTGGGTGAACTGAGTTCATATCACGAAGAAGTAACATTTTACCATAGGGTGCCACAACGAAAAGTGTTTGGAAGCAAGAATTGTAGCCATTGAAGAGGAGCAGCAACTGCGCCTGAAATAAATAGAACTTGATAGATTCGCCGAATGATTCGACTTGGCGAAATTCACAGGGATTTTTAATAGACGAGGTCGAGACACAGCAAAAAATACTTATATATTTTTTGTGATAAACATTTGGAAGGTATCCAAAATTTGTACTTAATTATTGAACTATTAATTTATACTTAAACAATTACTTGGTTTGGTGTAGAAATCTAAAGCCTGCTAAAAGAGAAATCTTATTATATTTATATATATTTTTACAAAAAGATTTAAGCTACGCTGAATTTTTTTCTATCTAAATAAAATCGCGTAACTTCCCAAAGTCAAATCAAAATTAAAAAAGGAAAAACATTAATATTTAGCACAGACAAACAATTAACACAAACACATAATAATAAATTAGTTTGAAAAACAAGAATTAGGATCGATTAACATATTTTAAATAAGGAGCTCTCCCATTTTGTAATCAATTTAACTGATTTGTAAAGTTATTATAAGTTAAGCAACAAAATGCGTCAAAAAGATCTGCGCCCAGCACCCGCTCTTATCGAGTATAAGGGCATGAAGTTCCTAATCACCGATCGACCATCAGACATAACAATTAATCACTATATAATGGTGAGTATCGAGGCGACAAGCAACTCCTCCTCCAGTTTCTTTATTAATATTTGTGTTTCTTGTGCCCGGCAGGAGCTTAAAAAGAACAATGTTAACACTGTGGTGCGCGTGTGCGAGCCCAGCTACAATACGGACGAGCTGGAGGCCCAGGGCATAACAGTTAAGGATCTAGCCTTCGACGATGGCACCTTTCCGCCTCAGCAGGTCGTCGACGAGTGGTTTGAGGTGTTGAAGGACAAGTAAGTCGGAACTGAACTCCTTAAATTCTTTTTCATTTCTTCAATAAGCTGAAGTCATATTTACTTAATATTTATTTCACAAAACGAAGCTCAGAAGTGAGAGCTATCTGATTTGAATAGCTTATATGATATAGATAAATCGTTGTCTCAATTTTCTAAACTCCATTCGAGATTTATCAATTTATACAAGTTAAAAATATCAAAATCTGTTCTATTTAAACTAAATTAAGAACAATAAATTAGCTGAAGTTATTCAAGATTATTTGTCCAAAATATTTTATATAGTTTTTCATATTATTACATCGACAACTTCTAAAATTCTGTGAAAATACTTTGTAGAAAGTCTGTAAAAGACTTCCAAATATTTAAAGTTCGAATATGAATTTAATTTGATGAAGAAGATCAATTAATATCAGCCAGCTTATTCACTAGTTCATGAACGATACAGACAACTCACTCGATAATGAATGATTCGTGTTGATGAGCGGCTCATGAACAACAGCTGAACAAAGCTAGTCAAATCAAACGTATGGTTCAAGAACAATTCAACGAAGTTCAAAAGAACTCATGCTTCAGTAGCCGTTTGAACAGTTGATCCAAGAGATCACTCAATTGAACCTCTTTGCTGATAGAACATTGAATCATCGGTTCAGGTACAGTTTATTGATCCGTTGAACTAGTCCTTAACTTATATGACGCAACTTTTTGCAATGTAAGACAATTTCTATATCATCTAAGCATTTCGGTTAGCTACTTTTAACCAGTCAAATATAATTTTATATAAATATCGTAGCTTAGGCTCATTTGCAAATAAAAGAGCGATACCAAAGTTGATTTTTATCAATTTATTCAGTATTATTTGTTGCTTTATACACCGACAATGAGATGAACATTAAAACGAATCCCAAAAACAAATCATCGACTAACCTGCTGCTAACAACATTCGAAGAGCTGCGCTTGAAATCGCACATCAAACTATATATAATACATATACATAAACATATCGATTATATATATAAATATATGCACCATATCCCGTAGTCCTCGCTCAGGCCTTGCTGTTGTATCTATATACCAGATCACTTTTCTTGAATTTGCTTTCTTTTACCATAATTATGTTTTATTTGCTGTATATATATGTATCTTGTTTGTATTATATATATCACTCTTTCGATAAGTTTCCCTAGATGCTTTGTAAATTTTCTTTATCCTCACAGTAGATGCCAATAAATACCTAGACTTAAACTATTTAATTTCGGTTTCGAAAATCTTACCTACTTCCTCTCTGCATACATATATATACATATTATATATAAATATATACTCATATATATATATATATATATATCTATATACATATATGTGTGTGTACTCCGTTTCGTTTCTTGGTTTTGTGTGCTATTATCCGCTGGCTAGTTTTAGAAAGTCCACAAGCGCCACACTATCCTACTACAGACATAAGCGTTTCTCGCTTAGACACATACCAAAAACAGCTCCAATGACAGCAGCCACAGCTCGAGCCAGCCTCTCGGCAGCAGCGGCAGCGGCAACAGCAGCAGCAGCAGCGGCAGCATCAAATACTACAGCTTCAGACACAGATACAGATACAATGCCCCTGACAGCAAATGAAACAGATACAAGATACAATAATACTGCATTCGTTGATAATGAGACTTGTCGGTAAGCGTTGCCTTGTAATTATTAAAGCGAGCCTTTAGAATCACAATGAATATGACAATTTCAATGAAAATACAAACAACTGAGCTTAAACTACTCACAGTTCGATCACCGTATATATATACTTATGTGTTTATCTTTTATCTTATCTCCAGATATCAGCAGAATCCCGAGGCTTGCGTTGCCGTTCATTGCGTAGCTGGTTTGGGACGTGCCCCCGTTTTGGTTGCACTTGCACTCATCGAACTGGGCTTGAAATATGAAGCTGCTGTTGAAATGATTAGAGAGTGAGTCCAGTGTAATTCTAGAGCGGTCAAATCAGTAATTAATATTTCTTAATTTTCATTTATAGTAAGCGACGCGGCGCTATCAATGCCAAGCAGCTCTCGTTTTTGGAGAAATACAAGCCGAAGGCGCGTCTAAAGCACAAAAATGGCCACAAAAATTCATGTTCTGTGCAATAGATTTCCAAAACCATATGTATATTCCCACCAGATAAAAAGTGTTCATTTTTTCAAAACAAAAAAAAAAAAAACAAAACCAAAACCAAAACAAACGCTAAAAACTTTAAAACTGTATAATTGCTAAAAACAAAAGGAAAGAAAACAGCCCAATAATCTATAGACAAATCGATCACAGCCCAGTTATATTTATACTAAAATTCTCATGAATTGGCAACAATTGTATTTATTGTATGTATTAATTAATGTAATTTATTTTATTTTATATTTCGCCAAACAAACGCAATTCTAATTTTATTTCACGCCCCAAAATATCCATGAAATGGTTGTGGCCGGGCTTCATAGTAAAGATAACAGCTATAGCATCTGTAATAGTAGCGATTATGTACCTATCCGCAAATCCAAATCCAAATCCGAATCCAAATCCAAATCCCGATCCAAATTGGAATTACTGTCAAGGGTCAGGCACCATAGGCAATAATATTACTAAATATAATTTATTGCAATATAGCCAAAAGCAAGAGACGAAATAAATATCGATAAAAATGAAAAATGAAACACGTTTAGAAAGCTATACATATATAACTAGATATATATATAAATATATAAATAATGTATGCAGTTATATATATAGAAGCGCTTAACATTATGAAAATCGTTGGAGGAATGAAATCCGCTTAAAACTGAACGCTGCATTTGATGTAAACGATCTGCAAATAATGTACTTAATCGCATGTTTAGTTTAGCCTGCGCCCAGACGCCGATTCATTTCATAGTGAGAAATATATTCTAAATAAAAATAACAAAAACAAAGGAAAACGTGAATCTAAAGAAAACATAGCCTAGTTACGTAACTGTAAGTCGAACCATGCTTGATCCGTAAACGGTTTTATATTTGCGAACTGTTTTATTTCGATGTGCTTAATGGAATGGTAATGGTCGGATCCTATACGCTTTCCCTCTTCTCTGTAACATACGAAACTCCGCTGGATAACAACTATTTATATAACTAAATCATGCAACAATAAACAATTAATTAAAGTACATACAAATTTTACATTAATGACTACATACACTTAAACGCTATATGCAGCAGTTGCAATATAAATAAATACAACACAGCAAAACAAAAATATTTATATATATAAAATATGAAGACAAAAAAACAAACACTGAAGAAAAAATTGAGAAAATGAACATGAAAGAAAATGAAACAAACCTTACAACAAATTTAACAAATTATAGTCAGGATAAAGCAGAAATTATAAAATTATATGCTTACAAATAATTTATCCAATATTGAATTGTAATTTTTTAAAATGTTAGTCATTACAATGAAATAAAAACGATATATGAAAATTAAACATTTTGTATCAAATGCAAAAAAATTCAATTTGATTTGAACTCTAATTCGTCGTTATTCGAGTTGTTGTTTTGAGGATTCATTATAAATATAAACTCATTATTTATAGGCCACATTCAAATCCTTTGAAATGTTATTCACGAAAGCTAAAATATTATGTATGACATCCGAGATCTTCCACAGTTTCTAGAGTTGTCAAGTTGCGAATGCGGATCCATAACTTTGGATGGAAAGTAGAAAGAACTGCCCCTAGATACAAATGTGCTCTTCTAAAGATAATATTCAAGCGTACCAGATCAAAATTAAATAGTAGCAATAGTTTTTTAATACATTATATTTTTTTAAAATTACATCTATATATCCCATCATTTTAGTTGAATTCAGGCAGTAAATATACCATTTTGTTACACTGTACTATTGTGTAAACAAACTACAGGCTTAGGTACATTTGAACCACATACATCAACCGGATGTGCCGATATCTTGGAAAATGTTTTTTGTCCGCTCAAAGCGCACGTCGTTAGCTCTGAAACGTTAGCCAACACTAAAATGGATATTGAGTTAGTATATTAACCGTTACACATGCATACAGTGACAAGCCGATGATTCCTTGTTGATAGCATTTTCCCATATACCAAACACAATATGTATTATTATTTAACGATGTTCTCTTTATTTTTGCATACGTAAATAAATATATATTGATAATAGTTACAACTAATAACTTTTACATTTTCGTGTGTTTTATTTTTTAATGTTTATCGGGCACACACTCGTTTCGCTCTGTTGCCGGTTTTTCGTTTACTTATTACAAACTGTAAACCTAAACTCTCAAAGCGTGAATAATTTCGTCAATATATGTATTTGTGTTGCTCTTGATTTTAATAGATTAATTTCATCAGTGATATACGTTTGTTTTTCCCAAGTCAAAGTATATATATATAAATAATGCAAAATATTTCAAATTTGTTTTTCATGCTTATTTCTTTCCTTTTGTGATAGAGGAGCCCTTAACATGGCACGCGCTGTTAGCTAACAGTGATCAGTAACATGTGTTGCAATTATGCTATGTTAGCTAACTGCGCTGCTAATTAACAGCCAAAAATTAGTTGTATTTGTAGTTGTTTTGTTTCAAAATAAAAACTAAAATAGTATGCAAGCGAGTAAATGTGTACTAAGTTTTGTTCAGTGCACTCCATTTAGAAGCTATGCTTTGATAAATGTAATCGCATAGCCAAACGAGCGCCGAGTTGTGTGTGTAAGGACTAGAAAAAAACTATTCTGGGATATTCTTTTTTGTTTGGCTGCGCGCAAAGCACCAAAAACAGAAGCGTTTTAGAATAATGCAGGCAGTTAAAAGATATAGTGGTAAATTTTTGTGATATACGTAAGTCGGCTACAGTGGAAAGCAAAAACGTAAACTATATATATACATGTGTAAAAAAATATATATACCTTTTTGCAAATCCACTTTCAATTAATTATATCTTATATACATAATTCTTTTCGCACATTCTTCAGTTTATACAGAGAATTATTATCGACAGAAAATAAAATAATGTGTTCGTATTCTACCCATTAAGTAAACACATACATGAAAATAAATACAAAATTGGCAAAAATAATATAAGTTTATATTGTTAAGTGTTGAGTAAATAAAAAGCTGCTTGGAACTGTTTTTCTAGCACTGTTCTGCTGGGTTGTTGTTGTTGTTGTTGCTGTAGGTATTCGCTTCTAATTGGCCGCCGTTGCATAAGCAAAACAAGTGATTCTTTAATTAATAATAACTACTAAATTTAAACATTTTACTACAAGTATTTACAAATCACAGCTACAAACACTAAGACAGCAGGTGTGGCCAGTGTTGCATAACATCAACATCAACATCGACATCGACATCGACACGACTACGACTACGACGACAGTCGTTAACGAAATGACGGCGGCAACGGCGACGACTAACAGAACTCCTATTGGCATGGTTTTACTGGTAATCATATTCATACAGAACGAAGCCTAATTAAATCATAGTCCGGCGCGCTTAGATCTTAGAATTTTCTAGCATACGTGTGTGTGTTTGTATGTTTGTGTTTCTTTTCAGCTTACAGCCAGCCTCCTTTGCGGCCAAACAACAAGGAACTAACCGAACCCACAAAGGCCTGTGTAATGCTCTGTGGCGCCGTCTTCGACTCGCTATCGTTGCCCTTGGCATCGGTCGCGGATCCAACGGCTGATGCACTGCCATCGGACACCTTGCCCAGATCGGGTCGCACTCGTCTTCCACTACTTCCACCCGCTATGGTGCCCAGATCGGGTCGCTGAGCTGCCATGCCGTTCTTAAGGTTTCGTCGCGACTTCTGTCGCTGCATTTGCTTGAGTCGCGTTTCACTGGCTGTCGAGGGCACATCACCTGCTGCTGTCACTGCTGCTGCTGCTGCTGCTGTTGCACCTGCCGCAGGTTGTGACATTTTCGTTGTTGCCGAACTTGCCTTAGCATTCAGTTGTAGCACAATGCCCTGGTCATCGCTATCCTCGCTGTTGTATGCGCTGGTGGTGGCGCTGCCGCTGGCCACGCCCATTGTAGATGTTACTTGTGGTGTTGGCGATTTAAGGCCGCGATGCAGAACGCCCTTGATTTGTGCACGATCAAAGTGTATATCATCCACGATGCTGTTGCTGCTGGTGTGCAAACTCTGCAGGCTCTCGCCGCTGATGCTGCCGCAACTGCTCAACTGGGAGAGCGGCGAGCTGCTGCGATTGGCAATGCCGGCGCTACGGCCACGCTGTGCGCTGATTATGTTCTCGAGCCCGATGCTCTCCACCTTCTCGATCAGATTGAGCGAGCGCAGCGCTCGTCGCTCTAGATGCGACAGCATCACCTTCTGCTGGTGCTGCTGTTTGCTCAGGCTGCGCTGCAGCTGCACATCGCTGGGGCCCACCAATTTGCGTTTGATTAAATCAGCACCCGAGGACAGAAGTCCAAAGAGCGGCTCTGGCGATTGGCCACGTGGCGGCGATCCTTCCGGACTGTTGCAGGGTGTCACAGTTGGCGAGAAATTCGGACCGGCTGGCGTGTTCAGGGCGCTGGGGGTAACCGCCTTGATTCCACGCTCATTCAACATACCAGCCAGACCCAAATTAACCGAAAACGTTGAACACGAATTCTTCCGCGACATTCCGGCTCGAGGCGTAGCCGGACAACTAAATAGAACAGAAACAAAAAAACATAAGCCAAAAGTGAATAAAATGAATTATTATTTGTGAACTCACCTCGGCTGCCTGGATGTAGATGTGGAGGCCATTCGCGAGGACATTTGCGACTGAGAGAGGAAGGACAAATCGTTGACGAAACCATCATCCGGATGCATGACCATGCTATTAGTATAGGTGTACGTGCAGCCAGGGGCTTCGAACTGTTTGCCCATGCCCAGATCCTCGCTTACATCCTCTTCCACATCGGATAGTGTATACAACTGCATGCCTAAATCATCGAGACCACGTCCACCACGTATTGTCACACCTGGTCGCTCCTCCAGCAGTCCACTGAGCGTGGGCGTGGCAAGGCGTGACCAGTGATGCAACGTCTGTGAGCCCTCCATTGGCTTTACAATCTGCAGCTTCTCTGGAAGACGCCACTGGTGCGTCGTTAGACCAGACGAAGAGCCCGATCCCGTTGACATTATGCTGTCCGGCGTGCGCACACCCATAGGCAAAGTAAGTCCAGTAGCCTGTCCGCCCGCTCCAGCGCGGCCTTGTGGGGGTTCATCGTAATTGTAGGTACCGACAGGCGCATACGATAGCATCGCACGCCGAGCCAACACCTCAGCGGGTGTCAAGCGCTTAAGTGCCGCCTCCAACTCCTTAGCACCTGGAGCGCCAGGCACACCAGATGGTTGCGCCGGATAGCCATCGTCTGACTGCGAGTTAAGGCTTTCGGTTGAGAGCGTCTTCAGACCCAGCGAATTGCTGCTGCCACGATAATAAGAGCCAGCCGGATATGCCATGGAGGCCATGCGCGGTCCGGATGTACTGCTCATAGACATGGCGCCCAGCTGAGTCATCGACACATTACCGCTGTCCATGTAGTTGCCACTCTTGGTGGCACAACGAACAGTGTCGAACACGCGTTTGTACGGCGGCGGCCCATATATGCTGCTGGAACCAAAGCTGGCTGCCATGCCACCCGGCAGCTGCGACATCATGCGACTAATGCGATCCGCACAGCGCTGGCTATCACCGGATATACCCGAGTCAAGGCTGTTCTCCGAGTACAGCGACGACTCCATCAGTTCTGAATGCAGTGACTCCACAGCCACAACTGCAGCTGCTCCATTCGTGCCAAGGCCACCCAGGAAGGAGCTACGAGCCTGCGGTTGCGAACGCTTTCGCTGCTGCTTTAACTGATCCTGGGCAGAGTGCAATAGCGCAAGCACCTCTTCATAGCGCTGCTTGAACTCAACCAGTTCTAGAGCGAGCGCATTTTGATTCTCCTTCGTCACGTGCAACAGAGACAGGTGTTCATCATTGTCCTGCGTCAGCTGATGCAGCCGCATTTCAGCTTCTGCCAAGCGAGCGGTGAGACTCACAATTTGCTCATGCTGCAGTCGATTCTCTTCGCGCTGTCGCTCCAGCTCCAGACTGATATTATCATACTGAGAATTGGCATCGTTTAGCTGGGCACTTATATCTGCCATCAGTCGTCGCTCGTGTTCCTCCACCTCATCTGTTTGGTGAGCCAACTGCGTGGCTTCGCTTTTCAGCGTCTTATTCTCATCGAGCAATGAGTTCACCTTCTTTTGCAGCAGGTCCAGGGTTATGGATTTTGACATGGTGGGCGTATCTATATGTTAATAAGTTTATTATTATTATTAGAACTCTACATTGCTTGAAACTACTCACCCGCATCAGTTGCATCGTCTGCGTCGTTAGTAAGCACCGAAATTAGTTCGTTCTTCTTGTGCAACTCGTGCAGCAGCTGAGCGCGGTCATCGTTGGAGGATTTGAGATCCGTTTCCAGATCACTAACACGCGCCTCTAGTGCATTGTTTTGCGTAAGCAGCTCCTTGCCAATTTGCACTGTCAGCTCCAAATCCTTTTCCTTCTCTTCCAGCAGACGCGTCACGGCTTCTATATCATCGTAGGCGCGAGTCATCTGGCTAACACGGTTACCACATAGAACTGCAAGCAATACACATTCTCACATTAATACATTTTTGCACAGAAGTATAAACAAAATTACGAAATTAAACATTAAACATTACTAGTTTTCACAATTCGACTTAAATTACAGACAATCGATAATCAGGGATGCAAGATCAATAAGCAAGAAGCAATTAAAGTACTTATCGACATATCGGTTTGACAGGGCTGCAGATCATTACGCAATTGAAAAGTGCCTAAGAGCAAGTATACCTTCCATTAGTAACTGTTCATTCTGCTGCTCCCGCTCTCCCAACCCAAATGACGGCAGACCATACTCATGCGCTGGCGTCGCTGCCGAAGTCGACGCTGCTGTTGTTGTTGTAGTGCAACCAGCTGAGAGCTCGAGTTCATCCTCATATTCAAGTTCATCTTCTGTCATGCAAAAGTCATCGTGCCAATCGCTCGTCGCTTTCGTTTGGCACGCAACGAATGCGCATTCTTCTAAGCTATTCTGTGTTGTTATTGTTGTTGCATCAACAGTATCCACAGCATCCACACGAGAGCAGCTGCTGCTACTGCAATTCTCAGTAACAAAAAATCGATGCTCACTGCCACCGGCAGCAGGCGCCATGCTGACAGCCGTCCGCAATTGCCGCCCAGTCTCCGTCTCTTTCGTTGGGACTGCCGCTGCTCCTTTGGCATTGTTTACGTGCGTCATGGCCAATCTATGTAGATGTTTCGTTTTATTCTCGTTTGCTGCTATTACAAATTTCCTTAGTCACGAAGCGTTCTGCGAGTTTCTTTTTATAAATGTTTAAATTTTTTGCGATTTAGCTCTTTTGACTATATCGCGTATTATGTAATAAACAATCTCATTGTAAAGTCTGCTGCCAAGGCACTTGGTTTCATTGTTGGTGTTGGTGGTGGTGGATGATGTGGTCGTTGTTGCCGTTGACTGTAATCCAGCGGCCTTTTGGGGTTGCAACGTTACATATATAGCTACATAGGTCACATGACTTTAGCTATTTTTGTAATTTTTTTTTGCCCTTCAATGTGAGTTGCAAAAGCATTCTCAATAGCAGATAAAACACTTAAATTAATTGCTAAATTAACGCGAATTGTCTGAAGTCAGCAGAGAAACTAAAACTGTCATCGCTAAAGCTGTCTCTCGCGCGCTCTCTCTTCACTCTCTTTTTTGTTGGTCTTTGCCACCCACTCTGCGCGCGCTGAGTGTGCGCAATATTGTGCGCTTTGTTTTCAACAAAACTTAACATAAAAACCTAGCTTGAACTTCTAAACGAGTATTTAAATATATTTATAGCCGTGAGCGCAACTTTTAAACTCTCAAATTCAAAGCCACTTCTTGCAAGCGCGACGCACACACACACACTGAGAGTAGTCAGACGGACAGAGGAACGAGCAGAGGCAGAGGCAGCGAGCAGCGCAGCAGGCAACTGCAGGCTGGAAGTAAAAGGCGTTTTCCCTAAGACACAGTAAACTCGAGTGAAAGGAAGACAAACAAAAATGTTTGGTGAAAAGAAATGCAACATCAACAGTAACACATGTGTATATATATGTATGCTGTCTCTGCCTGTTCTACGGGAAATACGAGTAATAAATATGCGCAAATGAACAAACCTCACGTGTCGAAAATAGCCACAGATTGGTTTTTTTTAAAGTTAGTTTTGATTGCGAACTTCACGCGCGTTTCACTTCACTGGTTAGCACTAATAACAACAACACCGTTGGTAATCACAATAGCCACAAGGCTGTGGCCAGTCCAAAGGTTGTGAGGCATTAACGAATGCAAAAAGCAACTTCCAAATGAATTCTAAGGTAAAAAGAAATATCGCCAGCCGGGCAAACGGCGCTCCAAACTCGTGACGGAGCAACGCAGTCAAGACAGATTGACTCACACACACATTTACGTACGCACACACGCCTCGCAATACACAAGCACGCAGTTCGAGTTGTTATTGGACAAGCCAGAGGAGGGTTAAATTTTTAGTTCGCAATTTTAAACGAAATCGCGTGCTTCTTTTATTCGATTTTTACTTAAGAAAATATAATGTAGCACTGATTTAAATTCTCGTTTACTTTTTTGACAATATTTTCAAATTTTTTTAATATTGCAATTGGCACAAATTGTGTAATTTGCGGATTAGCAGATACACGACGAACGCTCACAATGAATTTTATTTGCTTGTGTTATTTGTTGCTGTAGTGGAATCCACCACCAAAGTTAGCATCCACATATGAAAAAGAGAGAGGCAAGCAATGTGCTGTTATTGCTCTGTTATGACCGAGCTGCGGCTGTTCTGTTAAGTTAAAATTCACCAGAGAAGAGAGTGAGAGAATGGGAGCAACTTAACAGCATTGCCAGCATGAAAAAAGTACATCTGAAATACCTTTACCTTTGTTAAAGGTTTGAGTACAAAATTGTTATTTATCTTAAATTAAAGTATAATTAATTAAAATAAAAATGGATTATTCAATTTTATTTCTTTTTGATGGTAGAGTAAGCAAGAGTATTCAGCACTCGATGTAAACATTATAAGCAAATCAACTTAAGATATTTGATACTGCATTACATTATAATAATAATGCAAACAAAACGCTTAATAAACTGCAATTATTTAGATACATATCTCTCATTTATCATTTGACACAATATTTTTTTCTGTATGGAACAGAAACCGGAATAAGGCTACCTAAACTCTAATCCTATTCATGTTACGGCGCGGATATAGTTGCGGAGGTAATTTTCCACGTATCCGGCGTATCGGACAGCAGGAAAACGTATTTTCCTGGAAAGCTAGACACAGACAAGCCATAAAATTCAGGTAGTAATAACGGATCCAGTTGAACCGAACGCAGTTCGAGTTCGATCTTTTTAGAACTTTTCGAATTCCAGTTTTAATCTGCTAAACACCTTCCAGCACGTGTCTGTCTGAACCCAAATAAAATAAAACGTGAAGATTCAATTAGTTGTCGAGTGTTATATAAGAGTTTCGTTGACGAATCTGCCAGATTTAACTTTAATTTTGCTTTATAGATATATATGTATTTGCGGTGTCTAATTACTCGCACGAGAACAATTCCTGAGTAGATTTTGCAGGAGCATGAAAAAGTCAATTTTTTTCTTTTGAAGAAGTAATATTTTTCTTAATTATCGTCGATCATTAAGCTACTCGTTTAATGACTTTTGTCTGGGAACGCTAATAGAACCCAATGTCCATTTGAGATATAAAGCGAAGGGCTTTGCCCATTTCATTACTGATAGACGGACAAATAAACAAAATAAAAAGTCATAAGATGAAAAGAAATAACTTGAGTGATCCGCAGTTTTAGTCGATCTAACCGGAGAGTCATATCTGCGCTGATTAACGAGCTGCGATAGGTGTAAAAACGGTATGCACCTGACATTTTGAAAGAAAAAAAAAAACACAAATACAAAAACAAACAGCACAAAAGTTTGCAAAGCTGTTGAGAAAATAGGTAAGAAAGCCAGCAGTAGAGGAGTGAGTCTGACTGGGAGATACCCTGAAGACCATGTTACCCACTACAGATACAAGCTAATTATACTTTTTCACTGCAGGGAAATGGGAAAAGGTAACCAGAAAGTAAGGTACTCCATTAACCTCCTAAGATTAAATTTCATAGCTCGAACCTCTTCAAATGTGTGAGACGTGGACTAATAACTGAAATTTCAAATTGACTTCGATCACTTTGAAAGCAATGGAAAAGTTACTGATGATTTGCAACTCGACTATTTATCCTCATTAAGAGTACGCTCGATTCAATAGAATCATATTACGCATCTGCTCTCTGCCGCTGATCCAAGCATTTTAACAGAACCAATATACCCTAAGAAATGTTCACTTTCGACACGTTCGGGGCATAAAAAGCTTAAGATGAGATCATGTGCTTTTCTTGGAGCTTTAATAGTTTATTTTCTTTTCAAATTAACTTGCTAAAAGCTATTCTATATATATGTATATATATTTTTATATATCGATAACGCTTTGCACAAATATCAAGAAAACAAATTCAAAGTCTGAAATGGGAATTAGCAGAGAAACAGGCGAAAGAAAATAAAAACTGCTGTCGTGCCGCTTCACACGTCGACCACAACAAAGCAAATATACAAATAAAAAGCTAAGGAACTAAATTTAATTGAGAAAACATTAATCAATTGACAAATATAACACCAGACGATAAGATACGTCCCAAGCGCTTTCTGCACCTCAGCCAATGCAGCGGAGCGAACTCTCCGCTGCACTTGACACTGATAAAGCGGCCAACAGTCGATAAGACCGGTGATAATGGCTAATGACCAAGCTCAAGCAAATAATTCGCACCTGTGAAACAATGTAACACCTAAATCACCTTAATAGATAAGGTTATTATTCTAAATTGCTTGCCAAATCGCAGCTCAAATCTGCATTATCTTCACATATAATCAAGCAAATCCAATGAGAATATATAAATTTATATATATATATATATATCTATATATATATAGTATATATATAGTATGTTTATGGAGTTGATAAGTTGATAAGTAACAGTAGACTATAGCAATATGAACTCGCAATAAGCGCTATCTTTAGACATATATAGACATATTACACATTATATTGTTATATATATATGACATAATTTCCTAATCACTTTTTGGACGCTTTTCTCAATATAATTTTTTGCCTATCTAACTATATATATATTTCCCGATACAACTATAAATGTCCATCTAATTGTATACGTAACCAGAAAAGCGGCTATAAAGTCTGTACTCGTTGGGGGACTCACTCAAGTATATATTATTATCTTGAAAATGAATGAAAAAAAAACAAGAATTTGTAGAGTAAAAAATATAAACTTGACTAAAGATTATCTTTAACATATAATATACATATAATTATTTAAATATCATTTATCATGATAATATCCAACGTCGAATTCTTATTCACACAATAAGCCATATTTCCAAATTAAGGCCTGAGCCTTCAGTGTTGGCGAATGCTTACCTTTGTTGGTCAACAGACTGCGCACCACTTTCAGACAATTCTGGCCATCGACATTTTTGGAGGCGTAGTACATGAGCTCCCAGGAGTTGGCCGTTTGCAGCAGCTGCGCGGGCAGCTCAAAGTTGGGCCCATCGGCGGGCAGCGCGCCCGTAATGGGACTGGGAACTGGAGTGCTGGGCGTGCTGTCGTCTTGAGCTTTGGACGGCTGTGGCTGCCCCTTGGCCGCAAAGTCGTGTAGCAGCGCCAGCAGTGGTGCGGAGGCATTTGCAGTTGCCTCTTGTGGCGTTGCCTTCATCTGTTGCACAATGACACGCATGCGCTCCACCGCCTCCAGCTCGAGTTCGAGACGCGTGGGCGCCGGCTCCGTGCCATTGACAATGGCCGACATCGACGCATGGGAACTGCTCAAACTGTCCAAGCTGTCCAGCTGCTGGTCCAACTGCTGCAGCCTATCTGCCGTGCGCTGGCAGTTGCTCTCCAGCTGCTTGCCCAGCAGCTTGTACGTGTTCTCAAAATGTTTGCTGGCATTCGAAGGCTGTTTGCTAATTGTTGAGCAGCTGCTGCAGTTGCTGATGTTGCTGGTGCTGCTGGTGCTGCTGCAGTTGGACAGTAGCGAGCAGAGCGAACTGCTGCTAGCCACATGGTGTACATCAGAGCTGTTCAGCAGCTTCCCCTCAAGGCCGGCCACAAAGCTTTGCTGATAGTCATCAGAGGCGTCTTCCGGCTCCAGCGATAATTCATGGATGATGGGCAGAGCTCCAGTTGTTACTGTCAGCTTCACATTATGTTGCTGCTGTTGCTGTTGTTGCTGTTTTAGATCGTTGCTCTTTAGAGCTGAATTGTTGCTAAATAGTGGCATTTGAGATTGTTGTGACTGTTGTTGTTGTGTTTTGAAAGCCAGCGCATTGTTTTGTTTAGTTTGGCAAACAAGTTTCGCACTTGGTTTTTGTTCAATTTTTTTATTTACGCGCACTTTCAACAGTTAATTGGTAATTTGATATGCTGCAATTTAAATTAGGATTTGCCAAAAAGTTTATGAATGAGTGTGACGTTAAACGTCTGTCAAAGGCCAGTGTTGGACAACGTGCACATTCCCAATTGAGTCCTGTTGACTACCCGCCCAAGCTAAACATGCAAATTGGCAGCATATAAAAAATTAAATTCAGCTTTGCCTTGATTGATACGTTCCAATGGCTTCCAGACTTGGGCAATGCACAAATTAAAAGCTTGTTCCTCTAACTGCAATCAAAGGCGTAGTGGAAGTCTTACTGCCTGCGCATTCAGTTCACATTTTGCTCTGCATTCACAACCAAAAAGTTCTGCATGTGTGTTAAGAAGCAAACGCTTGACCTGTAAGGGTCGCCTGTTAGTGTTGGACAACACTTAAAAAATACGAAATTTCACGGTTTCAAGAACATAGCACTTCCACTTCGTTCAGCTGATTGATCAAACTAAATGCGCATTTAGTAAACATATAATCAAATTGACTCACGACTGCTCAAGCCAACATTATCTTTATAGGCACGCACTTATCGAAGGTCTATTTTTGTTTATCTAAACACTTCACTTGCTGCACTATGAATATTCCTAGACAGATACAGATATATATATATATACATATATACATATATATATATATATTACTGTAGACAATGGCATGTATTATAAATTACAAAATTTCATTTACATAATACAGCATTTCCACTTGCCATTCATGACACTTTAGTCTGCAGCAGCATTAACATACAATGCAAGTGGAAAATATTTCAAAATACAAGCATCGAGCGGAAGAGAGAGAGAGAGAGAGAGAAGCGCAGCACAACTTCACACAGGCGTGTGGAACGACTGACTAAAACTGAAGAATGGCTTTGATGAGGCGGGCCCTTGGATTCGGAAAAATGTCGAGCATAAAACAAGTTAACATTTTATTAGCCAGCTCTCGAAAGATGCGCCTTTCCACTCAGCCATAACATGCCGGCGATCACGTAGCTAACTCTTTGGGGCTTTTCTTTTGAGTGGGTCTGTGTGTGGGCTAGAACCCATCTGAGTGGAGGACGTCAAGATGACCAGTTAAAGTAAAAGGGGAAATGATGCAACATTAAGTTAAGAGCCAGTGCTGAAGGCTGATGATGCTGCTGCGCTTAATAACTATCAGATCATAATTTATGGCCGAACAAAGTGAAAGAAAATTGAGCTGAACTAAAAAACAAACAACCGTTAGCTTGTGCCAAATACAATTTTACGCTGAGAGACGATCAACAATAAAAAAAACTGAAGCAAGCGAGCTAAATAATTTTGATGTCTTAAAAAATCTATAGTAGAATCATCTTTTTTGGCATATGTTTCGAAAAACTATATATAGATGAGCTATACTATTCATGAATCATATTTCTTTGACATCTTTTTATGAAAAAAACTTGTATTCCTTCATTTACAAACTCTATTATAATCCGTCCAATCTTAATACACGTTTGAGACTGTATTTTGATTTACCTCATAACAAAAACCGCATATCATTTCCACAGATATATATATATATATAAATATATATATATATATATATATCTATATATATATATATATATATATATATATATATGCCGGAATATCGCATATATAACAATAAAAACAAAATTTTAACCCAACATGGGACTCTTACAAAATTGAGTGAATCAACGCAAAACAGTTTGATTAATGTGCTGCCGCAAAATTAAGTGAAATTACAAAGAAATAAATACCGTGACACAGACACTGAATACTCTACAAATACTAATGCCATAAACAAACACAGCTGGAATTATGAAAACTGATACTGATAACAAATTTAAAAAATAAAGCTACTTAAATGGATTTCAGATAATGCAAACAGAATTTGCTTATATATACACTGACGAGCAAAACTGTAACACATGTTCAATGTTCTCACTTCAACGGTCTGTATTATCTTTTATACTTTATGCATGATTATGATCATAGTCTTGTTTTGTTAGTGAAATATTTGGCTCTTTTATCTATAAATTTGAAGACATTTGATTAGCGGTAAGAGAAATACAATGGCAAAGAGTAAAAAAAGTCAAATGTTACAGTTTTGCACTGCAAATATTTTTAAACAAATACTTTTATTAAATTTTTTTTAATAACGGGTCCACAGCCCTTTTGATTTTTTGAGGTTGTTTATACGGTTTGGCATACTTTGCGTGTAGCGTCGCACCATTTCAGGTGGAATCGAGTACCAAACGTCCTTCGTTCTCTCTCACAACTCCATCCTGCCATTTGGAGGGGCCGCATATTTCGCAAGCTGCGATTTCAGATGGCTCCATACATTTTCTATGGGATTCATGTCTGGAGATTGCGGTGGCCACTTCATAGTTTGAAACTTTTGGTTCAGTAACCAATTTTTCACCAAATGGGATGTGTGCTTTGGGTCATTGTCTTGCTGAAAAATGCAATTTTCAACAGCCAGACCCATGTTGCCAATGACTCCTCCCAAATTTTCTTGAAGACTTTTTAGGTAGTGCTCCTTACGCATTATCCCATCGATTAACACTAAGGGCCCAACTCCATTTGTACAAATACAGCCCCAAACCATTATGGACCCGCCACCGTGCACCGCACTGTATTTGCCGATTGGACTGTGGGATTCCTAGTCCAATACCACGTCGTCCGTCTGACTCAAAACGATTAATTTTAGTTTCGTCTGACCAAATAACCTTGAAAAATTTTTTTTAGCATTGTTTAAGCTTTTATTTGTAACTTACGGCATCCCAAACAGCTAGACCCCAATTTTCATGCATTATAGCACAGTTTCTAACGCAAACTAATGTGCCTGTTAGCTAGAAATGTTTTTTTTTTTCTTTCATTGGCCTTAAGCCCCAATCGGCCGAGACTGCGACGGGCTGTCCACTCACTGGCATTTAAATTTAACATATTAGCCGCTTTTATTGGCGTAAAGTCGCGATTGTCTATAACTAAGTTAGCCAAGTGGCGCGTGTCACGTTGGCTTAAAAGTCGCGGTCGGCCTCCTTTATTGATTTTAATGTTTTCTGAACTGTTTTTGTTTTTAACACTGCACAGTCATGTGGCTAATACCAAATTTATTAGCCACTTTCCTAACGGATTCGCCCCCTATCAATAATTCGATTATTTCCTTTTTCTTTTCATCAGCCATCATAATTATTTTGCAAATTGACTTAAAATGATCAAGGCTTATCGATTTAAACAAAAACAAATAAGTTTTAATGGTAAAAAAAGCTTTAAAACAAATGTAAATAGGTTTTGCTCTGCGAGTGCAAAACTGTAACATTTGACTTTTTTTACTCTTTGCCATTGTATTTCTCTTATCGCTAATCAAATGTCTTCAAATTTATAAATAAAACAGCCAAATATTTCACTAACAAAACAAGACTATGATCATAATCATGCATAAAGTATAAAAGATAATACAGACCGTTGAAGTGAGAACATTGAACGTGTGTTACAGTTTTGCTCGTCAGTGTATATATTTAAAGAGAGTACAAGGAGGATCGCATATAGAGACTGCAAATATTTTGGGAGGCGTTCATCGACATGCAACAGGCGTAGAGCCCTCAATTGATATTCATATATATGTATATTTGTATGTTCCACACACTTTATGAATCATACTTTAAAAGGTAAGCCTCGGCTATAAAGCAACGCACACACGGATCCATACAGAGTTAGGGGCATTAGTGGGTTAATGTAAATTACGCTGTCGCATCGATAATAAAGCATGTGAGAGACTTAAGAATGGCATTGCTTGATTGGCTAATTGGCTTTGAATGACAAAACTATAAAATTATGTAAAGGAAGACAGCTGAATAAAAAATACAAAAGTACGTTTGTCAGTGGGGAAGAAAAGTTTAAAAAGAAATAATAATAATAAACATACAAAAAATGCCAATCAATCGTGCTCACACGCGAAAATGAAATGAAAACGGTTTTAAGCAACAGCAGCTAAATAAGACAAACTTTGTAGTTTTGATGTTTTTTTTTTTGTTGTTCACATCAACTTTCACAAAATGATGTTGGTGGTAATTAATTAGTGGCAAAAGTTGGGCGCAATTAAATCTCCTTCTACTTATATGGTCAAGCGACGAGATGAATGCAAACAACAAAAGGAATGCGCTCGCTATCCAACACTGCTAATAAGGAAGTTCACTGTGAGATAAGTACTTGTATGTACTAATAACATATGCAACTATTTCCACTTGTCTCAACTGCAAGAAAAATGCTTTGCGCTCCATTTCGCTGCGCTAATTGTGGCCCGCAATGTGAATGTCCTAATCAATAGGCCAGTGACACACAGCACACAACACATATCACAAAAGACACAAGAGACCCACACACACGCACACAAATGTATAACAACAACCGTTGGCCGCTGGCGAACAGTTGCCAGAGGTGTAGTGATGTAAAATGACGCAATTTAAGTATGTCACTTAACGTTTTGTTTGCGTTTGGCAAAGAAGTGTCCGCGGGTCCCCCGGACATAATACTTATTATATCCAAGCATAAACACATAAACTCACACACGCACACATGGCACCAATTTTTGCCACTTTGTGCATTGTGTGTTGACCGGCGGCACCACCAGCACCAGCAGCTTAACACTAATAAAATATCCAACTATGTAGGTCTGGGGGAAATGATCAGCAATTTAACGTGCCTAATAGCTAAAAAAAACCATAGTATCGTCCACTTTTATTGCGGTTTATTCTCTCGATGAGTAAACAACGGAAAGCGTTTGCGTTTTTTCTGTTGCTTTAAACGCAGAAGATAAACTCACACGCACAGCTGACAAGAGCGGCGTCTGATTGATGCGATACGAGTAAAAGCAACGTAGCAATATAATACTGATAATGATTAATCAGCAAAGCAATTGTTGCGACCGGACTGGACTGGCCGGCCGCAAGAACAAGAACTTGAACTGGAACTGGAATTGTAATTGGAAGTGGATGAGCGGCATTTACAGAGCGCAACGGTAAATAGCTAAATTACGAACGACATGCAAAAGAGGACGAGTTAGCGAACAAACAGCTAACAGCGCTAACAGCTGTGCGATGCATCGAGCGGATAGTTGTAGAAAACGAGCAGACGCTAAATTCCGATAGACAAACACACTTGAATGCTTATCAGCAGGCGACAAATAGCGAGACTGAATAGCGGCACATGGAAAAACGATTATGTAAAGCATAGCCAGCAAATGAAGACGTTGAACGGGCGACAGTAGAACAAGCGAAAACAAATTAAGCTGACAGTTGCACACCCTGCCCATGCCCATGCCCATGCCCTATTATGAATTACAACTCCTACACACACACACACTCAGAGAGCATGTCGACCCCATTCATTAAATATGTGTTTACACACAACAACAGGCAACGAAATTCGTTTTCTTCATAATTCACAAGCAAGTTCAAAGTTTTTGTTGCTGTGTGCGCGTATTTCAGTTGTCCTAAAAATAAATTCAGTTGTATGACGCCAGGCGGTAAGCTAAAGCATTTGGAGAAATTCCAAATGTTTCGTTTAGCTCTTATTTCTCTTCTTTTTTTTGCACAAATGAGCAATACACAAACATACTCAAAGTGCGTGTATTAGTAATAATTTTCGATTGTTTTTAACTTTGCTGAGTGTTTCGCTTATGGTTTTGCAACACATTTCTTGAGCGCTTCATTTTTATTTTATTTTTGGTAATTATAATTTATTTTTGCTTATTGTGGCACGCATACAATTTCACTGGTACACAGCAAACGAATCATATTTTTGGTTCAATGTCGACGTGTTTATATTTTTAAATTACATATTAGAAAAAACGCGCACAACGCTTACGAATTTCTTTTGGCACTTTTCATTTCTTACGGCGCAGCACCGTCAGTTGGCAAAATCTTTTGAAATGCACACATACCGACGACGCACGCGGAATGACAAAAGCTAGGCAATGCCCCACACCGCTGGTAGCGGCTCCAACAGCTGGTTACTGTGTGAATGTCAAAACAGCGAATGACAACACCAGCTGATGTCAGTGTGACCAGCGATGGCAGCACTAAATTAGGAATATAATTGAATATGCTTTTTCGCTCACATTTTAGCTTTACAAAATATATATATACTAAATATTTAATATTAGCTCTGACCGAAACAGAAATCAAAATATATATTATAACCATTTTTGTTCCTTTTTGTGCGAATGGCAACAAGAGCCGCAATCAGTTTACAGCACTGAACATACGAACCACAAGTGTTGTGTTATGACCGAAAGCTTGGCGCACTTTTTGAATGTATATTGCGATAGCATTTGAGAAGTTAGCTATATCATATAGTTAAACAACAAAACAAATGGATAACAATAAAAGATTCACATTACAAATTGCACTTTAATAGACAATATTGTATTTGCTAACTAAGCTCGTATATATTAAAATATGCAGTAATTCTCAAGGCGCATAAATAATACTTTGTCACAAGTTTATTGGCGTCAAAAGCGAGGCACATTTGCAAAAAGAATGGAATACATATAGAATTTATTTTTATCTGCTTTGCGTTGCGTAGATAAAAGAGAATTGCGTTTTTTCTTTCATGCGGCAGAGATAAACAAATTTTTTAAGATCTTTAAAAACTAATAAAACTTGGCAAAAACCAAAGAATATATAATTCTAAACATATAAATATGTATAAATATAAATATGACAACAAATTGATGCCATACGTGTTTCAATTTTTCCTCTATTATATAACTATGGCAACCGGTTGAGAAATTATATACGTATATATAATATATACATTAAATTGAGCAATTATGAATGTGTGAATATTGGGCAATTAAAGTATCCATTTTATAAGCTTATCAGACAAGGTCAGACAATTTGTTTAACCAACTTCATGGACTATTTATAGTGTTTGAGTAACTTAATAGACATTGCTGATAGGAGATATACTTACGAAAATAGTTGAGGCACTCTCTAGTCTGTTCCTTTGTCAATCCGAGACCTTCGACTGGAATTGGTAGCGCTGGAGCTGGCACAAACCAATCCTCATTCGCATAGCCCGAGAAATTAGTGAGAAAATCATTTCGCACTTTATACTTCGGTATTTGTTCCTCCAGCAATGAAAATATTTCCACCTCCGGCAAATTCTCGTTGCTGCACAAGTCTGAAGGTGTGTGAATAGATGGGAGTAATTAGCAAAGGCTTAACAAAAGGCAAATAATTGACCAACTCACCAGTTAGGCAACTAGCATCCGCGGTTTGTGGTTTGTTGGGGGTCGTCGCCTGTTGCATGAGCCGCTTTGTTTGCAACTTGGGCAAGTGTTTGCTGAGCGTCGCCTGCGCGGAGGGACTGAGCGGCATTTGGCCGCCATTGGCCCCCAATGTTGCGGATAGCATAAATGTTACAGAATTCTAATATTGTCGATATCGATATCGATATATATACAAATACAATCGATCTATCAGCTGGTCAATAATGTGTAGTTAGTTGTTTTTCTGAAAACGGAAATGTAAACCGGCTTGTTAATTCACTGACTCTCAAACGAAACTACAATATTTAGCAAACAGCTAACAGCTAGCAACAAGTAGCACCTAGTCTACGCGCGTTTTCCTCGTTTGCTTTCTATTATTGAGTGGGCGCTTATCTTGCCGCACAAGTTTCGATGATAAAGTCAACGTCAAACGATGATTATTAATACTATAAATATTAGTGAAACGTCAAAGGATTTTAGCGTTAATTTATCACAAGCATAATTCGCACATTTAAACACAAATGCTACTGACGAAGCAAGTTCCCATTCAATATCACTTATCGTTACAACTGATTATTTAAACATATTGATTGATCAAATTTAGAATGTTTTATCATTATTATGTGCATGTAACATCATTATCTTCCTGAATAGCCAAGATACCGAGTATAGTATCTTTTATGCAATTTGTAAGCAATCCAAAGTGTCACACTTGTTTTTTTTTTAGGATGAACTTCACGACAAACAAATATACTCCTTTTCACTACATTATCACTAATATATACTATATTTTATTATTATGTCCACATATGACATTAGTTTATTAATTTGGGACAAAGCAGACAGCCACACATGCAATAAATACAGCTTTGTATCAGTTATTAAGGAGTTTAATAATGATTCTGCGTTGGTCACACTTGATTTTAAAATGGAAAATAAAATGGCCATCAGACTAATAGTGATCATGGGACTGACCAACAAAAAATTTATATTGATAAATAACTCGTAAAATCAATAAAATCTTTCACATTCTAAGCAAACTGATCCATAATAATAAAATTCACCGCGCACCATTCACTACCTTTAAAAGAGTTGCGTGCAGACTACCGAGTAAATGTTAACTGATTTTTCATTGTCTACCAAGCGATGGCTTTAATGGAGTCTGCACAAAGAGAACTCGAACTGAATTGAAAGTTTGATTGGTAATTGTTGTTGGCTTCTTATTTAAGAGTATGAACTCGAAGAGAGATGGCCAAAAAACAGACACTCAGACTACGTGCCAAACGCGGCGTATACGTATCGCGGCAGACTCTGCAGCTCGCAAACGAAGCGATAATAAAGCGCGGGGCGAGCGGAGCGTAACAACGTGTAATTAAACTGTAAACAAAACAGAAAAAGCAAGCAACCGAGTAATCGAAGAAAACATTTTGTTAGTGGGAGCGAAACTGCGACGAAAAATTGCACTTCCTCCGCCCAACAGCTTTCCAAGGCAAGCGAAGTCAATGGCGCTGACGCACAAAGGCCGTTTTAATAAAAGCATGTGACGCCGAACGCGAACAGCGACGCAGACATCGACTTCGAGGAAAGCAACCACCACTTAGAGCCACAGCTGAGGTATTCCCTGACCGTCGTCGTTTGATCAAGCGAGCGCAAAGGTTTCGCGATAATTGCGATAACAGCGAACGAATTTTGCGATTGCTTTTTATAATTTTTTTGTTGTTTTTTTCTATCGACGCGCTGCCATTTCCACTGCAGCAGTTGCATTGCGTAATAGAAGATAGAACAAATTTACATACAGACAAAAGCAACAAATACCAACAACAAATTCGTAAATGTGAATGGAAGCCGGCGATGTCAGCAGCGAAGCGAACGAAACGTATAGGAAAAAAATAGCGAATTGCTATTGGCTGCCGTTGTTATTGTTGCTTTCTGTTCTCGCGCGTCTTGTTTGAGACATTTTCCACTTAATTTGTATTTTTATTTTTTAGCTGTGTTACGTTTCATTTCACTGTCCACTGTTAAGCGCGCGTTGCCAGAGCCCCTGCTGCGAGAGAAACTGAATGGATGGATGGCATAATTCTCTAAAATAAATTTGAAAGCCAAAGGCAAGCAATGGCTGGCTGCAGCAATGGCGACGCTTGCCAAAAAATAAAGGAAAAAAAAAAACAAATACTAATTTGTTAAAGTTTCGTTTCCCTTTGTTGGCGTCAGCTTGTGCTTAAATTGTTTTGCCTTTTGCTGTTGTTGTTTTTGGCTTTTCTCGCTTCGTTCTGGCTGCTTTTACGGTGTACTCAATTTTTTGGCATACGCACTCACACACACAAACACCGTACACTTATATAAGCAGCGCTGCCATCGACGCCGCCGTCAGTGGGGCAGGGTCATTAGACGACACCGTTGTAATTTGTGAAATGAATTTATTTAAAGTGTTCCGCATGCATTGCCAAACATGAATCAGCTGGGCAGGTATTTGGAATGGGGGATGCTGCTACTCCGTAGGGGAGGTCAAAAATGGGATGCGTGGGCGCAAGAATGTATTGTGCGTATTCATATGACTGTGTGCGTGTACGTGTGTTTGTGTTTGGCTGAGGAGCGCGCCCACTACAAATGCGTGATTATAAAACACTGTCATCATTTGCTCAGCACTCGCGCACTCATTCATCAGCGTGAATGTTACTCATATTTCATAATGTTTTTCGAACTTGATTTGTTTTGAAAATGTAGCCTTAAACTAGTCCACACAATCCACGAATTATTGAATTTTCATTTTCAGTACAACTTTATTGTTGTTGCTCGACAATACCTACATTTGTTGTAGTTGTGCATGTGTTTGCCATTTTATTTCTTTTTCGATGTGTTGTGGCTGCTTTCACACTAAAAATCGAAATGAAAACCACATGCCATCTCTCTGCACAAGCGCGCGTTAATCGTTGGAAAAATTAATTGTAATATGTTTAGCTAGTAAAATATACACTTCGTGTTTGTGTGCGTTGAGTCACATTGAATTTAAACTAAATAAAATAATCGTTGGTCTTAGAAATTTGCTTTTTTCTGCAGCTGCAGCCAATATCTTGCGCACACCAGTGATGGAACAAAACACGATTGGCAGTTGTTAGCCTCTGAGGAACTATCGATGTTTTTATATCCGACTTTCTTTACATCGATAATTTGTTTTTCGATATTTTATTGCGATAATCGTTTGTATACGTTCACTTTTTCAAGTTATGTTTATATTATATTACAATTGTAAATTGCTAATGGCAGTTTCTCCATTTGATCCCTATGATTCAAGGCAGGAAATTGTTTTGCAACAGATCGCCACGAAAATAACCTTAAATTAAAGCACAAAATGTCGAATCTCTTTTTATTTTTGTTTTATATTCTTGTCTACAAAATATTTCTGTTTTGTTTACATAGCATTATGTAGCGCTGTCTAAATCATGCTTTAGGGTAAAAATATAAATTGAAAATTTTTAATGTTTCAAAATGTTTTGAATTAAAATCCAAATTAATTTTTGGCGTGTTAGGAATGCCTAATTATTTGATGCATACATTGTTATTTATATATAATATATATATAAATATATATATATGTATATCTTTAATTGTAATGCAGTTGTATTCTGATGTGCCCCATATATTCTTCAGCTAGTGGAGGACTATTACACAAGTTCGGAAAGTCTTTCAAAAAATGTTAAAATTATTACAAAATTTGTTGTTTAACGAATAATAACAATATTTAGTTGCATAGTTTTGCTGTTACAAATCTATAGCTTTTCCCGTTTCAATCGTCAGTATTTTTGCGTGTTGAAGCAATCAAATCGACTGCACTGATAGCATCCGGAAACATCGAGTGATAGTTGATTACTGGCACGTACGCCGCGGTAATCACACGGCCAGCAAACCAACGTCCGTGCAGCGCATTTACCGCTAGCACCGCTGTCGTTGTGCTCGGACATTTTACATAAACTGTGCCCGTTGGTGAAACGGTGTCTACATGTATATGTAGAACACCACCGTGCTTGGCACATTCGTCGAGCACATCGTCACGTACATCCGTATCCCATGTGGGATTTGTCTCGGTGCGCGGATCAAACATGTTGGACAGTATAAAACACTGAGTAGCTATGGATGGCGTCTGTTGTTGCTGCTGCACTGGGGCGGGCTGTGGTGCTGTTGCTAGCAGCGCATTGGCCGCTGCCTGTGGCACAGCCAGTCCAGCACCCTCGGCTAGCTTAAACATAAGCTGTAAACGTCCCGTGGCACCGAGATCAATGCCGCTGCGATCCATTTCATCAGTGTCTAGCGAACTAGTATTCATGTCCAAACGCTCTGTTACATTGCCCACTTTCATTGGGCGTCCGGCCAGTTCAAAGCCGTTCAGTTGCTCCAAAGCCTTTTTGGCATCGTCAGCATTGTGATACTAGAAATAAAAATATATTATTATTATAATAATGTAGAGTGTTTCCACTCGTACCGTAATAAAGCCATAGCCTTTAGATCGACCCGTCTCAGTGTCCATAATTAGCTGGATCACATCAATTTTGCCAAAAGGCTCAAATATTCCACGCAACATATCCTCGGTGATATTAAAGTGCAGCGATCCCACATAAAGTCGCATGGGTCCTGTGTGAGCTTTGGGCTGAAACGGAGGAGGTGCACTCTGCAGTCGATTCTTCTCTGCCTGCGTATGTTGCACCATTATTGGTACGCCCAGCAGACGCTGTCCCGATAATCCAAGTGCTAATGCCACAGATTCGGGATCCTCAAATTCAATATACGCAATACCCTTAAAGCGTTTAGTCTTGTTGCACGTAATTAGACGCACATCGCGCACCTTTCCAACACTGGAGAAGAACTCCTCTAGATCGCGGGCGCGCACACGCTGTGATAGTTGAATGCAGAAGACGGTGCGGGCATCGCGCTCCTCAGGACTTAGCTCGGTGGGTGATGTACGATCGCCGACACCATTAGGTGGCGATCTGCCACCACCGCCACCACCGCCTCCACCTCCACGCCCGCGTCCACCGTATGGTCGAGGTGAGTAACTGGTACGACGGCGGCTGCTACGCAATACGTGATAACATAAGAACAAAGCATGACAAAATTAACATGATAATGATAATGATTATAGAGTCCACTTACTTCGTATCCCTTGAGCGCGAATGACTGCGCCGACGTTCGCGTATGGGACTCATCCGCTTGCGTAGTTGATCACGTGAGCGACTGCGACGACGCTTATCACGAGATCGACTGCGCTTTCGGTCTCCATCTCTTTGCATGGTCTTGCTACTGCCGCGGCGATCTCGCGAACGTCGATCGCGATCACGATCGCGATCACTGCGCGCATTGCTGCCGCCTCCGCCACGTCTGTCATCGCTGGGACGTTCGTCACGTGGGCGACTACTGCGCTTGCCATCGCGATAACGATGCTCCCGCTGTTCACGCTCACGTTCCCTATCTCTATCCTTTTCACGATAGTTACTGCGCTCATTGCCACGCTCCTTCTCACGTTCACGATCCTTGGAGCGTCTGTGACGCGAGCCACTACGGCTACTAATTAGGAAAATACATGAAATTAGTACGAGAGTGTAAGAAATTTCATTAATGTTTACCGTGAGCGATGGCTGCGCTTTTTGTTGCCGTTTGAGGAACGCGTGCCATTTTCCGTGTAGCGTTCATCCTCATCGTTGTCATCATGGCCGGCACTCTCGCTGCCGCTGCTGCGCCCGCGTCCACGTCCAGCGCTGCCCGCACTGACGTTCTACAGATAGGGTTTTGGTTTTGGTATTTGGTTGGTTGGGTGGAGACATGGGAGGTGGAAGTCGCAAGCAATAATGTACATACATAGAATTGGATATTTTCATTTGTTCATGTTTTGTGGGGGACATGGAGACACAAACACACATAACGTTTCGGTTCGTTGATGATCGCACGTTACGTTGTTGTCGTTTTTTGTTGTTCGTGGTTGTTGTATTCATTTTACAATTTGTTTTCAGGTATTATTTGTATTGTTTTTTATTGTAAAATATTTTGTTTTTTTTTTTTTTGAATAAGAGAAAGCAAATCAAAGTAAATTAGTTAAATTTTTGGTATCTGCAAGTATATAAAATAGAAATGCTTAAGTCAACAATGATCGATTTACAGATCATTGCCAATTTATAGCAATATAGCAGTAGAGTAATAGTAATACATATGCGATTAGTCAAAATTTAAAACATCGACAGCTTTATTCGAGATGCTTGTCTGTCATGTAGAGATATATATGCATGTACCTAAGATGTATATATTCGAGTACATTATATCACGTATACCTATCTATTTAAATACAGTGATAGATAGGCTTTGTAACACACACATAGATAAGTAGACCACGGCGAAATGTCTCCACACATATTGAAATTCGATTCGATATTTGGGTATTAGCGCTGGCTAGTGGTTGGGATGGTTTGTTGACTGGTTGCTTTGGCTCTTATTTGACTCTAAAGACTCTGGCCACCACATCGCAGGCGCTCTCGTCTATATATGGGACATACATATACATAGATATAAGTTATAAGATATTTGTGTAGTGAAATAAATTTATGTTTGCTTATTACGTTTTTTGTTTCTTTTTGGAATTTTTTAGGCATTTGATTTTTGGTGTGATTTATATATGATTTTGTATATATTTTATATTTGGGCTTTTCAGACTCGACTCCTGAAAGAGCAGTGAAGTGGACTTGTGAGACTTTCTTTCATTCTTGTCTGTCTGTGAGTGAGAGTAGTAGTAGAGCTGCCTGCTGCCCCAGACAACAATAGGTAGAGTTTATCTGAAATTTAGTGCACGTTCAGTTTTCATTGATTTTTAGCAAGTTAAAAAACAAATTCATAAAAAAATAACAGAAACAGTAATCATACAGAAAACAAATGCCTAGATATGTTTTGGTTTTATTTTCTTTTAATGTTTTTTGTTTTTTTTTTTTCGCAGTTTCTGGTACATTCAAAACTTACCAAATGGTCTCCAGCTTTTTGTGTTTAGAATGACCAAAACAATCACTAGCAACAATATTGAGCTTATACGATTTCTGCAAAGACATTTCACCCTTAAGAATTATTCTCGCTTTTTGTTTTAATTATTTTCTTTTTTTGGTAGTGTGATATTATCTTATTTACTTGCACATTGCATTTTCTATTTTTATTTTTTAAGAGAGATAGAGACAGAAAAGAGAGAGCAACCACTCAGCTATTAAATTGGAAGTTTCATATTTTGAAAACAAGTTTCATGAAAAATTGAGAACATATAGATATGGTATACATATATAAGAAATTTTAGCAATTACGTCCGCTTTCAATATTCTAACAACGTGTTTTATATGTTAATTAGTTTGACATATTAAAAACTTGAAAACAAATTCACTTAATATGGATTCTTATACTATCTGGAATATGCAAATACCGCACTATATAAAAATAATAATATATGAAAACGACTTATAATCAACTTATTTTGATTAAGAGAATGTATGGGTTTACCGCAACAGCAATATTAATTTTTAGATGTTCCTTATCAAATTACTACCAGGCACTGTATAGATAAAAAATTAAAAGCTCTTGTGAAAAGAACCAGCCTAAAAACCGAAACCCCAAAACAAAACTGAAGGTAAATATATGATTCGTTGCGATTTTCTATATAATGTGCAAATTAAAACTAAAACAAACAAGTCACACATACACACCCACACACACATACTCGCACACTAATGCACGTGGGTGTTTAATTAGGCGTGAAGTTAAGTCATGTATAATAAATATAAAGACGATAACCACCGGCCGACCTTTACAAATCGATGTAGTCGATTTTCGATTGCACTTTCAGAATTAAAGCTTAAAATCGATTTAAAGAAAGCCACTTCATTGCAATAACCACACACACACAAATGCATACATAGACGCATTAAGGTGCTATGCAAACTTTATATGTCTGTGTCTGACTCTCAGACAACTCAAGTACATATGCATTTATGTATTTCACATGAGAACGCTAGAATGCGAGAACGCTTGTAGATGTCTATTTGGAAAAGAAGTATACAAATGTTCATAAAATATACCATTGTCGCAGGGATAACATAATTCGTACATACCATTTCTTAATTAATATATGTTTAGATTTATAACGAATAACTGCACTTACGTTTTTTTGGTACGGCGCCTCCAGCATTGCTTCAACATCAAAGTCTTCGGCCATGTTGAATTTTTTGGACGGGAATAAAGTCCCCACGTAGTTGTCTAACACGTTTGAAGAAACCAAAAGTTTTGTTGGTATGCACACCGCAATTCGAAGATTCACTTACGAACTTGCTTTTCAATTATTTTGGAAGTTAAATGAGAATTTCCTTAAATTTTTATATTTTTTCACAGCGTGGCTGGCTATGTTGTGTTGCTGCAGGGTTGATAATGAGTACACGTCGGTACCCGTAACGATATCGATACTTCTGAATACTATATTATTTTAAAAACATTCAAATAAATCGTGGACGATAAATACTTTATTTATTTAATGGAAATAAATATTTAAATATCTATTTTGTAAATATTATGTACACAAGCTTGTACAGTAATTACTGAGCTTGCCTACAACCCTACGATATCTTCAAAAGGCGACAGTGGCGTTGCCATATCATTAGTAGATTAATCGATTTGTTTATATTTACATATACGCAGCAAAGTTTTGGATTCGCAGAATTATTGTCATTGTGTGCATTTATAGCCGTCTGAATTGTCCTTGTTAAACGAATATAAATCGTATCAAACAGGTGCCAAATTGATTGAATGGCGTTACGCAGTACAAAACATACTCATAAAAGCATACACTGCTGGCAGTGCTAATTGTTGAGTCATCAGCGTCCCAGTCAATAACATATAGCTGAAGAAGAGTTGCAGCAGCCTTGGAGGCGACGGTAACCGCTAGACCGTATACGTAGGTTGCGTGTAAAGAGCGCACCACTACCACAGCTACAGGTGAGAGGCAGTTGCGTAAATAAAAAGTGGCGTAAGCTGCATCTGCGGGTGAAACTCCAACCCAACCAGCAACTAAACCATCCCCCAATACGAACGCGCCTACGTTTACATACACGTTACGGGTGGCTAACTAAGGTGTGTCCGAACTAAGCAAAACTCTGTATACTAGTTTTTTTTTTGGTTTATATTTTAGCTGAATTCAACTGCAAATGGAGGACTACAAGTTCCTATTTAAAATTGTGCTTGTGGGCAATGCCGGCGTTGGAAAGACTTGTCTGGTGCGACGCTTTACTCAGGGTCTTTTTCCACCCGGTCAGGGAGCTACTATTGGTGTGGACTTCATGATTAAGACCGTTGAGGTCGAGGGCGAAAAGATAAAACTTCAAATCTGGGATACAGCCGGACAGGAGCGTTTTCGTTCCATTACACAAAGTTACTATAGATCGGCGCACGCGCTGATACTCGTTTATGATATTAGTTGCCAGCCCACGTTTGACTGTCTGCCCGACTGGTTGAGAGAGATCCAAGAGTACGCCAACTCGAAAGTGCTTAAAATACTGGTGGGCAACAAGACGGATCGCGATGATCGTGAAATTCCCACGCCAATAGGCGAGGAGTTCGCTAAACAACATGACATGTACTTCCTTGAAACATCCGCCAAAGAGGCGGAAAACGTGGAACGCCTGTTCTATGAAATCGCAGCTGAGCTAATCGGCCAAGCGCGCAGCAAGGACGGCACTAGTGCCGCAGCCGCAGCTGCACAGCGTCAATCGGATGGCGGCGGCTCCATTGGATTGGGAAGCTTAAGTGCCAAAGCAGCTCAGGGCAACTGCTGTGGTGGATCCAACAGCTCTAGTAACGGCAACGCCAACCCAAACTCCAACTCTAGTCAAGGCGGCTGAGCAGGGAATATAGCAATAGAGTCGACAACTGGCAGCTTTCAGCTGAAAAGCAACTCAATGACTATGGATGCTAAATATTTGTGTTAAACTCCTTTGGATGTGTAGTTTTAGTACTCCCTGATTTTCTATTAGTATTATTTGTTATAGCATAGATCTTAATCTAAGATCTGGTTGGTGAGCATCACGAGTTTATGTTTAAAATTAATGTCTATATTGATATCATAACAGCAACAACAATGCAATGCACATTTTGTTTTTATTCCTAGAGTAACATATTTAACTGTGTATTTAAAATATTTTTTATATGTTTATACAAATGCGTATTTATTATAATTTTTTATTAGCAATAATTTATACATATGCAATTTAAAGAATATTTACGCGGACTTGTGTAATAGATTTTAAGACGATTTTATGACATTCCAAAAATTACACGCGTAGTTCAATATGAAACGAAAGGAATAACTCACTTTGTAATTAAATAAACCCGAATACAGTTTTAAATGTGCATTTGAAGTGTTTTTTCTGGATTTGGGTGAAAATTGGGTAGATCTGAAATTTATGTTGATCACTTCTTGAGAAGTCATCTTTGGTGAAGTTTCCTTACTTTTATCCTATGTATCCCATCATCCGTTAAATTCAATATTTAACATAAACAATGCAGCGATATCTTTGAATATCAAAATGTTTCTTTCATTTATTAAATATTGGTATTTTTAATTGGTACATTTGTCGCTTGATGACTTTTCTCTAGGAGAAAATTTCATGCTTAGTATTAAGCTCTCTCTTTTTGTATAAACTACAATATCTGTTTATGTGTGTATATTCGACATTCAACTCTAAAAATATAAAGGTATATAGTATACATATATATTTATATATAAATATATATATATATGTATCAATATAGTGTATATATAAGTAAATATAGATATGTATGTGCATGTATATTGGCTATATATGGTAAATATCCTTGTATAATGTCATGGTAGCAAAAAGGCATACGGGTATAGAGTAATCAAAAAAATACATAATAATAATATAATAGATTGAAAAGTTGTAGCTGCAGTTGTTGGATTAGTTTTTAGCTAGCATTAGAGTCTGTTAGCAGGCCACACACGAACACATACACAATAAATTATATACATTTATGCATAAATAAAATACATGTAAATGCTAAAAATTAATATAATAATAATAATAATTTCATTTAATACAAAATTTATGAATAATTAAACCATTTTAAAAAGTAAACAACAATTTGGGTCGGCCCTTCACAAAATTTTACATTCCTGACAGCCTGGCACTTTCGTTATCTATCTATGTGTGTTATACATTTCAATATAAATATATATATGCATATATATTTTTGATTTCATTTATTTTGATTTGATGTATGTGGTATGTGTGTCAGAGCTGGCGTGAGATTCGTTAGATTGTGATCAATATAGTTGCGACCGTAGCCGTCGCCTCTATGCTTCCGCCTTTGATGCTACTGCAGCATCAGAGCATTTAAATTACGCTGCAGTATCGTGTCCTTCACCGAATTGAACACCACATTGATGTTGCGCGTGTCTATGGCAGTGGTAAAGTGATGATATATTCGGCTGGTGCTGGTGCTGCGGCGCACGCTCATGAACATTTGCAGCATAAAATTTTGGACGTCCATTAGTGAATGCGGATTGCCATTGAATTGCGGATAGTACCAGCGTATATCAGTCTCTGGATTTCGTACTTTTTGCTCGAGCAAATCGGTCTTGTTTAAAAACAATATTATTGAAATGCCTTTGAAGGTGTTGTTATTCACAATGGTATCAAAAATATTTTTGGACTCTTCCAGACGATTCGTTTTTCTGCAAAATAACGAAATCCAAATCAACATCTTAACCTGAACAATTAAGTTGATCTCAGTTCTGAAAACCGAACACTTACCTGTCTTCGGCAAGCACCTGATCAAACTCTGAGCTGGACACTAGAAATATAATCGATGTGACAGAGGTATCAAAGCATCTGGTCCACTTTTGACGTTGAGTGCGCTGTCCGCCCACATCGACAAACACGAATGGAATGTTCTGCAACAGAAATGCATGATTTCAAAATACCAAACAGCAATCAATTGCAACGTACCTGTACTTTGACACAAAACTCGTAGACCCCTTTGGTTGCTTTGCGACAGTGCAGTATATCTTTGTGTGTGGGCACATAATCCGGTTTCGCCAGCCGTTCAATTTCGTCTAGAAAATAGCTGACCGAATCGCTCTGCAAGGTGTTAAGTGAACAAAAACAATATTTGTTTAATATATATGTAAAATATTTATAAAAAGGTCTATAGAAATTAAATATTAAAACGATGTACCACTGAGGTTCAAGTCTATAAAATCTATTCCATATTTTACACTAATTTTATAGACCGAATCGCCCAGCTTAAGATAATTCTCTTCGGTTACATTTTACAATATATTGATACTTTTACATATACAACTTGGTTGGACAATCGACAATAAATTATATTTTAGTTTAGAAGAAACAAGGCTATATTCGAATAATTATAAACAAAGCAAGTTCCACACAATAGATTTGATTGTGTTAGTCTTTTACGATGAAAAATATTAAAAATATTTGAAAATTTTTTCAACAAAAATTTGCTCTCTGTGGCTTATGAAGTGTGTGAGAAAGATGATCCACTTGCTAAAGTAGTTTGTTCTAACTTTATATCAAATATATTTGAAACACTCAATTGGAACATGGCTATATGGAAAATTGGTTGTCTCTAGTTTTAAATTGATGATGATCAACTTCTACATATAGAAAATGTCATATTCTATATACAGCTTTTGGATTTAGAAGACGGCTTACAATTTGGAATTCGCGTCGTCGTTCGTAGGCACGCCTTATGCCACGATCCTGCCAAAGGCGCCTTATGAGTGGCGCATATTCTACGAATCTAGCTGCCTCTATTGCATTGCATTCCATTGATTTGGCGTCATTGGCATCCTGTTCACGTCCATCGCTGCCCCACGAAATATCCAACTTTTCCCGCGCATCGAGGAGCACTTGCATACCTGCAAAACAAATCGATTAATTGTTAAATATGTTTCAATGTTTCTCACCTAGAAGTACATACCTCTTATAACATTTTGGTATATCACATGTTGGTATTCGCGCAGCAGTTCCGGATCAAAGTTGACGCCGTGTATGATGCGCATCTGTTTGAGGAAGGTTGATTTGCCTGACTCGCCAGCGCCCAGGAGCAACAGCTTTACCTGCAAAGTTTACTTATGATTAATAAGTGGATTTAACAGACAACAAGATCTAATACAAAAGTACGTGCGAAATTGAAACCTTGACCGATATAAAAACATACACACACACACACGCACAAGAAAAGCAACTGCAACCAACGACAAAGCACAAAGAAGTTGTTAATTGAATGCCTTTTGTGTGAATAAGACTTTTTGTAATGATTGCCTAAATGATGCAACAATAAAAAACCCAGTGCCAAGCCCAATACCAACATCAACAGCAACAACAACGAAAAGTGAAAATTCGTCTGCCGTTTCGTTTGTTTGCCTGGGCGGCCCATGCGGGCTATACAACCGGATGAATGTTGTGCTTTGTGTGTGTGCGTAAGAAAGTGTTTATGTATGTGTGCATGTGCGTGTGGGTCCAAGCAAATTAATACTAATTACTTAATTAAACAGAATGTGGAAACGTTATACTTCTCTTATATTCAATGTTACCTGCCGTCGAAACGTATGCTTCTCCTTCTCCAAAAATCGATCAATCTCTTTGGATTTGTAGCGTTGCTCCAGCTCTTCGGGCGTGCTGCGCAGCCGCACCAGATGGGTCAGAAGATTACCAAAGCATCTCATGCAGGCGAATCGTGACGTTTGCAGACGACTCCCTTGCCGTCGCAGCCTTTCCGCTCCGTCCGATATCAGTCCGGCGGAACTAGCTGTTGTCCCTCTGCCGCTAACTGTCTGCTGATGATGATGATGATGCTCCTCCATCAGGTGCGTCAGCGTCCCGGTCCGTGTATCGCTGTTGCTGTTGTTGTTGCTGCTGCTTGTAATGCCGCCGCCGCCACCGCTATGTGTTAACGTGGTCAACGTAATTCTGGACATGGTTGCGACTGCGACGACAGCCAACGCCTGACGTGCGCACTTTCTACACAGGCACACACACAACACTCAGCTCACACACACACAGTCGCGCACACAGACGCGCGCGCTGTACGTTCAGTTGTTGATATTATTGTTGGTGTTGTTGTTGATTGTCTCCCGTTTTGTATGATGATACTGTTATTGTTCTTGTTGCACACTCGCTAAAATTAGCCTGGTCTCGGGGTTTATTGTTTTGGTCGTTGTTTGGACGTCGTAGTTGTAGCCAAATCATATCTTGACCACAAAAGCATCGCCGCGCTCTTCCTCTGTGTATTTCGCTCCGCGGGCATTGCATACACACACTTTCACACTTTGCAGCCACTACAACATATGCTAATCGCGTTGATGACAAATTGTTGAACTCCTTTATTACGCGTCGCCTTCTTTTTCTCGTATTGGCAAATTTTGTAAATAAATTCGCATTTTCACTCCCAAAAGACTGAATAGGGTTGTATTCACGATATCACACACTCGATTTTTCTCGATATTCTATCGATAGTTATAGGGAGAGTTCCTACGTGATATCATAAGCAACCCTGTTGTTGGAAACAGCTGTTCATGTTGCTAACACAAACATAACACCCATACAGTTATAGCGTCTGCTGCTGATTATTCTATTTTGCTTAGTCGTTGTGGAATTGTGGTGTTGTTGAGTTTAATATATTGCTGAAAATATTGTCTAATAAATATGATTATTAATACCGGCAAAGTATCTTTGCTTTATGCTAAGCGCGCAGCAGGCGGTATGCAGTATATGAAAAAATATACAGGTAACACTTGAAAACCTCAGTGCGTAGAGGTCAATAAGTTTAAATTGATTAAAATTCATTTGCGAGCAAAATGAACAGACTTGATTGGTATGCAGATAATAGACTATGTAGATTTAATTCAATTTACGCGCAATAAGCATTTCTTTTACTGTCACTCATAAAAATATATGTATGTACATATATGCATAAGTACTATGTGAAAGCGAATTCAAATTGGATTTTGTACCCTGGGCGTCTGCCAAACTGCGCAATTCATTTGGCGAACATTGTTATTTCAATTTATTATTAATAAACATTATTTTTTAACATGCAGCATTTCAACCTCTTCATACCAGTGCTAAGGTGCTTAACTATGCGGAGCCGGCCCCCGCTTTACCTCTTCCCCATAATGTTGACGCTGCCGAAACGACGCGCTTTTCCCCGCAACGCTCCAGGGATATATCCGACAATATCATGGTCATGTCCCATGCACCCATATCTACAATCGATATAACCACTGACAACAGCATGACCATACCACAGGGCGGTTCATCATTGCAGGATCCACATGTGCAATCATACGATTGCTTTGGCGCTGTCAGCCTCAATGCGGTTATGCAGAGCAATGTGCCTACACCGTTTGGTGGCATGCACAAGTTCTCTCATCTCAATATGCCGGGTGGGCAATGGTCGCAGGAGTACAAGTTCACTTCGCAGAACATGCACAGCTCGCATTATCGATCGCTGCGCGACAGCACTCGCGCTGATTGGGTGACCTACGATCAGAATGCTACTGTCGCGGGCCATAGCCAAGGTGAGGATAGGCCGCTGTAGACGTATACGTGACACCTGTTGCACGTGTTGTTGCTTAAACGCAATCAATAAAACTGTTGCATGTCGCGCGCATGCGCCTTAGCTAACACGCATACGCATCCCATATCATATGCATTGCTCGAATTTCGTAGGCTTCCGGCGTTGCTACAGCACACAAGCAAAGCCATCACAGCCAGCTACATCAGCAGCAGATCCCCCAGCAGCAGCAGTACCAACCTCAACGTCTGTGCCCGAAGAGCTGAGCAAGAAGGAGCAATTGAAGAAAGTCTTTAAGGAATACGGCGCAACCATTGTAGTATTCCATGTGGGCATTTCGTTACTCTCCCTAGGTGGCTTCTACGTGCTCGTCTCCAGGTAGGACTAACTAACAGAATGCGCTCATCCACACGTAACCGCAACCATAGCAGCAATATTAAAAGCCTGCTGAACAGTCAACTTAATTAAGTCATCTAATTAAAAGCATTTTGTCTTTTGCAGCGGAATAAATATGATGCCCGTGATGGAATTCCTTGGAATCGAGTCATCTGTATTTGCGGAAAAGATAGCCGTAGGCAGCACCTTTGTCACAGCCTATGCCGTTCACAAAGTCTTTGCACCACTTCGTATTAGCATCACGTTGGGCTCAGCACCATTTATTGTGCGTTTTCTGCGCTCCAAGGGATTCCTAAAATCGAAAATTAAAAGCAATTAATGCCATATACGAAAGCATATCTCTATATTTTATATACAAATTTTGTCATAAATGACGAGAACCATTACATTTTTGATAGTTTAGCTATGCATGTCAATACATATGTATTTATGATGATATAATCAAATAAATATTGTTCCATGTGTTAAACAGAATATATTTATGTATAAGGAATTTCATGAATCCCTTTTGCAGTTCCAATCCAATTAGCTTAGCCACAAACTTCCAAGCTTTAATTAAAGTGGAATTGAGTTCATAATTCATAATATATTGACCATCTTTGGATTAAAAGTCTTGAGTTTCCATCAGACACATCAGACGCCAACCAATTAAAAACATTTTGTTTTCTTTTTTATATTTCTCTTGGTTTTTACTGCTTTTTTTAAATTTTTTTTCTTTAGCGTATTTATAGAAAAAATATTTTCACATCTTAAGTTTTCACTGCTCTAGACATTTTTCATTTGTTATTGGCTTAAGCTATAAATTGATATTAAGTAAACAATAATTGTAATAATTATACAATTTAATAATTAAGACTTAACAGTTAGACAAAAAAGCTAATGGAAGAAACAAATTAACAATTTCCAAAATTTCCAATGCCATTTTAAGTTCTCCCTCAACTTATATGATCCACCTACTCCTCTCTGATATACATTTATTTCCCCCATTCTGATGCCACTCCTTCGCTTTTCTACTGTTCTCTCTTTGTACGCATTTAAAGCCTAACAACTAATTGTAATTGTACGTGGTATGAGAGCCGGCCGGCTTAGTAGCCATCGATGGCCTCTTCGTCGAGTTGGGCCTCCAGCTTCTCCTCCTCTTTGGCTTTGCGTCGCTGTATCCAAGGCATAAAGGCCCATAGGGCAGATCCGGCAAGCAGTGTCAATCCCAGCGTATGAAAGAGCGGATTATAATTGTTGACCGCTTCGGTCCACCAATTGCACAGCGGCGGGCCCACCAGCTGCAGAATACCATTGACAAATAGACTGATGCCATAGGACGAGGTCAGGCGCTCCGTACCCAGCATATCGGCCATGATCACAGCAGTGATACCCACATAAATGCCCGATGCAAGTCCAAAGATGGAGCACCAAAAACAAACGGCGCCGTAGCTATAGGCCAGTGGCAACAATGCTAGCGAAACGCCCGAAATGGATAAGCCGCCAACGAAGTACCACGTCTTGGGTATGAAGCCCATATCGGAGAGCGCTGAGCCGCCAATGCGACCAATTAGATCCGTTGCCGACACTACCGAGAGCAAGTAGGCGGACAGCGATTTGTCGAAGTTTCTGGCGAGGCCAAAGGCGGGCAGCAGAATGATGAAATTCGTGTAGCTGATGGCATTAGTTGAGTTCGAGATGAGTATGACCAAGTACATGGGATCCTTCAGCAGGCTTAGATCGAAGAATTTGCTGCGCTGGCTTTGTTGCGCCTTGCCCTGACCTGTCTCATCCGCACCGCCGGCCTCTTGGGGCGTCGATTCACCGGCGCCGCTGCCAGCCGAACGCAACGATAAATGCGACGAGAATTCCTTGGGTTGAAAGGACAAAGTACTGCCGTGATATGGCGTGCTAATATACAAAAAACTACTGGTTGAAGGCGACCGCTTGGACAGCCGATTCCTCGAGCTGTTTCGCATGGCGAGCTTGTTAGAGCTGGAGCGGCCCTCCGGCACAGCATATAGCGATGTCTGTGAGTTCAATTGGCCGGGCGTAAATGTCTGATTGCGTTGTGGCAGTCGTACTGGTGTGCTAATCTTTCTGGCCCGTGGCTGGAATTCGTCGCCGGGTTTGGCATAGCTCTGAACCACAGCGGCCGAGGCGCTGCGCACGAATTGTTGCTTGTCATCCGCATCATCCGGCAGGTAGAGCGGCGACGGTGGCGAATTAAAAGGCATCAGCTGCTTTTCAGACGCCGGCTCCTGATTGGGCGCCGTTTCGTCGACATTCTCGAATTTCATTACAATGCCAACGTCTTCCTCTTCAGGAATATCCTCTAGCGCCTGACGAGCGCGTGGCACGCGAATCATATGCTGCTCCACAGGCTCATAGAACAAGGCGCCCACCAAAACGTTTAACGTGATGCCACCCATAATTAAGCAGGAGCCACGATAGCCATAAGTCTCCAGTAGCCAGCGTAGGACGGGCGGCAATATAATCGAGCCAATAGCACTGCCAGAGATGCAGAGACCATTGGCCAATCCGCGTAGCTTTACGAAGTACGATGTTACAATATAAACAGTGGGCGGAAAGGAAAGGCCTGCACCAATGCCCACCAACACACCATAGCTGAAAGAGAAAAAGAGAGGATATCAGTGAGGAAAGTCAATAAAGCAGCTGAGCAGAATCTGATTATCAGTTAATAAGCCCATCTAAGCCCCTTTAACCGGTTGTAAGCACCTTAATTTAACACTTGATCTTTAAAAATTAATTCATAACAAGTTAGATTGAACGGAATCTTCTCAGCCAAAACGTGTTTTCTTAAAACTGGCTCAACCATAATTTAGATATTTGTTCTCCTTCTCTTTAGGCTAATTTTGAAACAGGAATGACTTACCTAATGTACAAGTAGCCAACGGATGATGCCCAGTAGGATAGCATCATGCCCAGCGATGCGGAAACGGCACCAATCAGAGTTACCGTGCGATAGGAATACTTAACAGAGAGAATACTCGAGACAGGTCCTGTGAAAGTAATGAAACATTTTGAATGCATTTTCATTATGGGTAGGAACTTCTCATTTAACACTCACCCAATGAACTGTAAAGGAAGTAGCATAATGCCGGTATCCAGGAGGCCTGCGTCTGTGTCGTTTCAAAGGCCTGCAAGAACTCAATGAACAATACACCAAAACTTTTAATGGTGCCCGGGATGAGTATGTTCGTCAGACAAGCGCCAAAGAGGACTAACCAACCCCAGCCGCCATCGGGTGGCACGAGGTCATATTCGCCGCTGTCATCCTTCTTGTTCAGCAGACTAACTGCTGCGTGCAAATACATGAAACGAAACAAAATGATAAGAACATGGTCAAAACATTTATCAGATGGCCATTGCAGAGGTAGCTACTGCTTCAAAACAGAGCTCCCAGTACCTAAAGAACATATTCTTATATATATTTTTGCCGATTCAACACAATACAGACTCGGGTCTGCATAAGTCATTATAAGAGTGTTCCCAGAATCGACTATAGGCGAATTATATAAAAAGATGTATAAAACACAGATCAGATATTCAAGAACTCGTAGAGCTAATTAACTTTCAGTTGGGAAACACAATAGGGCTCAAAAGGATTCCAGTGGTTCCTTTTTTATATATAACATGTAATTTTAAAATGAGATGAAAATTAAATGAATATCACACATAAATTGCGGTTACTTATCGATATTGCAGAGTCGAAAGAGTTATCATAAAGACAGAATTTTTCTTAAGCTTTTTGAGATCGATGAGGCATGGACACATAGGCGAGATGGAAAGAAAGAGAAAGTTGCAACGATTTACATAATATACTATGAACTTATCTTATTTAATTTAGAGCCAATAGGCTCTACTCGAAGCAGTGTGCTAGAACAAATCTTATCGGATTCATTTAATATTAAAAATTTTCTTATCAAATTTTGTATCGCTGCGAGTTCCAGGGGAGCCAATTTCAAAGATTCTCTAGATATTATCATTTAGATACTAAAAACCTTGAGTGTCATACATAATGCTTAAAAGACTACATTTCTAGTGTCCGGCTCGTTTGGTATTTATTTAAAGAACAAAATAAGCCATATCTTATCTGTACGAGGGGTCTGCCGAAAAAACTTTCACACTTTGCCCGGAATCGGAGCCCGGGGTCTAGGCGTGCACAGAGTTAGATCCATTAGGCGTCTAGTTGGGAATGCCAATGCGTATCGCTGATAGCGCCACATTTATATGGCCGGCAAAAGGAAAAAAAAAAAGAAAAACCGGTAACCGGGTCTACGTCAACGATACGCAACGATGGGGATTCGGGGCCTAGTGTTATTTGCCAAGCGATTTGGGTTGTCAGCGTCCGGCAAATCATGATACGAGCAATCTACATGGAGCTATAGGCTGAGTCAATCGTGGGGGTTGGTTGAACAGCGATCTATTGAATTGGGTTCGTTGGCTAGCTATAAAAAGACATCGGGCGTATACCTACGCAATTGATTAGGCGACAGCTTTGTTATGTTACTGCTAATTAGTCAGATTAAGGCGTGACTGTACCAGTTGCATTCTATGCAAACTATACTGTCCGCACTATACTATATACTATACTGGTACTATATGCTTCACAGACGCTAATTAATCATTTCACAAATATACAATAAACAATAGCAACTGGCAGATATTGTAGTGTATGTAATCTGAAAGGGTTTTCAAGTTATTAAAATAATCGATTGAGGTTATGTGTGTCAATCAATCAAAAATGAAATCAAATTTTACTGAGCATCGCTTGTAGTCCCATATACATACATATATATTGTATATGATTCGATAGTTGTTTATTGATGGATAGATTACTGACCTGTTTTATCACTATTTTCTTTAGTTGTTCCATTTATTTTATGCTCTTTGTTGTTTGCTTTATTTGCATTTTGTGTACTTATAACTTTTTCCTTATGCATGGTCTGTAAGAAGAAAGAGAAAGAGAGAGAAAGAAAAATAGTGTGTTGTTGTTTTGTGGTTTGAGGATATAACAAATTTTAGTTTTCTTTGTTTTTGTTTTTTTTTTTTTGGTTGAAATATAGAATATGAATATCACGCGAATACTAGAATTCATTGGACTTCAACTGCTTGGCATAAAGAGAAAGAAAGAAGAGAGAGGGAGGGAAAGAACGAAGAGAGATAGATACAGAGAGATAGGGATGACATTCAAAGAATAAGAAAAAAACTGATTAAAACATGAAACATCCGGCATATGTATATACATATGTGCACATCAATTAGAGATGGGCGCGTGTTTCTCAACACAGCACGAGAAATTAGAAGACGATCATAAATCCATATACATACATATGTATCTGAATCAATCACAATAAAATTATGTTAATAATATATTTAAGACACATAAATTG